CCCTGGTGACCCCTAGCACTGCTACACCAACTGATACAACCCCCAGCATCATACCAGAACCACCTAGAGTAGCCCACAGGCCTCCTAAGCACCTCCAAGATCTTGACAAGCCCCTAGCTGATATGTTCTTGAGTTCCTGTCCTCCTTTTTCCCACTGGCATTCCAAATTATACTCTAATGTGAAATGTTTGGACATGCAAATGGACACATAAGAGCATATTTACATAACAGCTCTCTTATTCCTTTCCTTTAGTACTGAGATATTACACCAATAAAATGTATTCCAAGAGTTTAGTTGATTAAAGTTCTCTGACCTGAAACATTTCCCCATTCACTGATATCACCTTTCACTATGGGCTGCACACTGGAATCATCTGAAAACCTAAAAATCACAGATGCCTCACCACCCCAAGATACAGCTATTTTGTTGTGACTTGTGTGACTTGGCAGGGAAATTACAGATTCTGCCAAGTTCCCAGGGAGACGGTCATGTGCATCTCTGGTAGATTGCTGCAAATACGGTTCTCCATGCACCAGATCTCCCTGAATCCACTCTCGAGTCCGTGCCCTTGGAGACACTCTCTCATATGGACTAGGGGTATAAGCATGTGACTTGTCTTGCTCAGTGAAATGTTAACAAACGATACAGACAGAGATGAGAAAAATAACTGAGTGTTAGGTCTCTCCTCCTCTTTTGCTACTGGTGGAAATGAGACACCGTGTGAGAAAACTCGGTCATTTGCTGAAGACCTATGGCTCAGTCAACAGCCCTCACAGCCACCAGAAATGAGTTAGGTTTTCTTACATCAATCAACTAACAGCTAAAGCCACATCAGCGACTCAGACAAAACCAGAACTGCCCCTGTGAATGCACCCCAAGATGCTCACCTAGAGAGTAATGAGCAAGTAAAGTAACCTATCTCTTAAGACAATGAAGTTGAGGACCAGAGCAATAGCAGAGAAGATGGGGCATATGCCTTTCATGCAGACAACTTGGGTTCAATCCCTGGCATCCCATATGGCCTCCTGAATACCATCAGAAGTGATTCCTGAGTGTAGAGCCAGGAGTGACACCTGAGCATCATTGGGTGTGGCCCCGAAACAAACAAAAACAACAAAAAGACACTAAAGTTGAGAGGAGTTTGTTATGAGTATTAACTGATTCAAACCAAAGTTGAGGGCTGGAGAGAGCACTCACTAGGCCACTGCACATACTTTGCATGCAGAAGGCCTGACCTGAGTTAAATCCCCAGCCCCACATGGTTCTTGCACACAGCCGAGAGTGACCCCAGAGCATGGAACTGAAAGTGGCCTCTGAGAACCATTAGATATGCACCCCCAAAAGAACCCCAAAGTGGATGGGGCTGGAGCAATAGCACAGCGGGTACGGCGTTTGCCTTGCACACGGCCAACCTGGGTTTGATTCCCAGCATCCCATCGCCAGGTGTGACCCAAAGTGCCAAAAAAAAAAAAAAAACCCCAAAGTGGAGAAGCATTGTTATGTGATGATTATGAATACTAGTGTTATTTGTTATAAAAGCAATGCTCCTTGCAAATTTGGAAACAACAAAAACTATCAGGTAAAAAAATTAACTGATTAGACCATGGAGGCAAGGCTGATGCTGGCATGCCTTCAGTCCATTTTTGTTTTCAATTCCCTTAGACCTAATTCTTCAGAAGCAAACCATATCGAAAGCTTACATCAGGGAACAGCTAGACATCAGTACCTTTGGCACACTTATATGAAATAGAAAGAAACCAGTCCTGCCCTCAACTGATCTTTTTCAAACAAAGACATCCTAGTGGCCCTGGGGGCCTGGGCTGGACAGGAGGATGATTCTGCTGGCCCTGCGTACTGAAGCATCTTGTGCATAGCTGATACCTGGCACCCAGTTCTGCTTTGCCACCTCTGGCCATGGTTCTCTAGTTTCATTTCAGTATATTTCTAGAGAGTGGTTAAAACGATCTCATGTAATATTAGATATTAATTACTTTCACCAGTAATATCATAAAAGTTTTCCCTTTTCATTCAAAACTTCAAAATTCACTATTTTTCCTCTGAAGATGATAATGTCTTAGAAACCTACTTTTTCTCTAATGCTTTAGAATAACTACAAAGAATAAAAATGAATGAAAATGGGTATATTTATATTTCAATATTAAGAATCTAAATTTTAAAAAGGAATAAACAGGTACATTATTGTACATTAAATCAAGTACAATTAAAGAATTGTACTGTACATTACAAGCTTAATAAATTGCAAAGAATATGTGTAGTTATTTATTCTTCTGTTCAGTAAAATATTATAGTTGCCATGGCAACCACCAAATCTCACAGTGAGTGTGCTACCTCTAAGATGTCATCACTTTTTGTGACAAATGATATGAGCAATATATCATCGGGTTCTAGTATTAAATGTTTTGAAATGCTTTAAATAAAACAGGTATATTACTGAAAAATAAAGATTTTAAAGACCTTTAGTTGTTAACAGTCTTAAGTCTCTTGAAGTTTTAAAGAAATTAAGTACTTTTACTTAAAAAAAAAGACTTAAAGTAATACAAGTTTCCACAAAGTTATTTTACTGTGGACAGAAGCAATAGTACAGTGAGTAAGGCTCTTGCCTTACATGTGGCTGACCAGGGTTTGATTCCCAGCATCCCCTATAGTCCCCCAGAATAATTCCTGAGTGCAGAGCTAGGAGTAAGCTCTGAGCACAGGAGAGTGAGGCTCTAACTCCCCCCGCCAAAGTTATTTTATTGAAAATGTACACAGCACTCATTTTTTGTCCTGAAAAATGCAAATAAAGAGAGTGAATAAATACTTTCCCTAAGCTAAGCAAACTTGAAACACTAAATTGACATTTTCACCACAAACATTTAGTGGGAAAATGGGGAAGACACAAGAATTACCTTATTTTTTCTAATCTCTTGGACTCTTTATTAGTTCCTTGAACTACACACTAGTCCTTAATTACTGCTGCATATTTCTACTACCTGCAGCTTATCAAAGACCTCTTTATAGTATTAGATAACCTTTTTAAATTTTTGTTTGTCTGAATCTGGTCAGCCACATGCAAGACAAACACCCTGCCAGCTCTAACCTCTTTCCAGTCAAGTTTGTTAATTGTGTTTATCTGTCTGTTTGGGGGCCACACCAGGGGAATTCAGGAGTTATTCCTGGCTCTACACTCAGAAATTACTCTTGACTGGCTCAAGGCACCATATGGGACTCCAGGGGAATCTAAACCGGGTTGGCAGAGTGCAAGCTAAACCCTTTGTACCATCTCTTCAGTCCTATTAATTTTTAATGATAATTAAGATTATTTGTTTGACAAAAGTGGTTCGTCAAGTAAGAAAAAGATGAAAATTACAATCTTTAGTAAGATATAATAATTTGTATGTGTGTTGTTTTGTTTTATTTTTATTCGGTTTCATAATTTTCAAATGTCAAAGCTCAAATGTGAAATATTCTTTTTAAGAGTTTGTAACAGGCCGTGATGAGGTAGCTCAGCCACTAGGGGGAACCTGGAGTCTTTTTCTAAAGTATAAAAGTACAGGGATCTGACAAGTACTGGCTTAAAAAGCGTTGCAATTCCCAGGATGGGAGTAGCACGCTGAAAGTAGACTATAGACCAAACACGATTGTCACTCGATGCCTCTTTTGCAAACCACAACACCCAAAAGGAAAGAGAGAACAAAAGGGAATGCCCTGCCACAGAGGCAGGGTGGGATGAGGGGGATGGAGGGTGGGAGGGATACTGGGATCCATGGTGGTGGAAAACGAGCACTGGTGGAGGGATGGGTATTTGATCATTGCATAATTGAAACCCAAGCACAAAAATTTGTGAGTCTACAACTGTACCTCATGGTGTTTCACTAATAAAAATTTTTTAAAAATGATACAAACAACGGGACCAAATTCATCTTGCCATGCAAAATAACTCCTCTCGCATAATCTCATTTTTTCTCCAAAAATTAAAATTAAGTTATACTTTTATATTTTAAAATGTGTAAAAGTTATTTTCTGGAACATAAAGAATAAAGAATGTAGTCAATATCCAATTAATGGAAATGAAAAGTTTTGAAGGCCAATGAAATCAATATAAACAAAATTTTGAACCAAGAGTAGGTAGGCTGTGCCCTGGAAAATACAAGAACTATTTACTAAAACCTTTTTTTTTTAGAGCCAGATTCTCTTTATAGGTTCTAAGTCTGACAAATGTTCTTCCTTTGTATAATCCCATTGGGAAGTCAAACTTAAAACTACATTAACATATACAGAATTACTAGGGAGGAAAAGCCAGGACGGAAAGATACATAGGCTCAGTGGCTGAGGGTTGAGGATACTTTAGTAGTGGTGGTGGAGGGGCTGTTATCAAACCATAAGCTTTTACACTAACTTCCTAAACTATTACAAATAAGATATACATAGTAGCACTTTACTGAGTTGTAACCTGATGACTTGTGTACTACACCTTAATAAAACACAAAAGTCACATACAGGGGCTGGAGAGATAGCACAGTGGGTAGGGCGTTTGCCTTGCACGTAGCCGACTCGGGTTCGAGTCCCAGCATCCCATATGGTCCCCTGAGCACCGCCAGGAGTAACTCCTGAGTGCAGAGCCAGGAGTAACCCTTGTGCACCTCCAGGTGTGACCCAAAAAAGAAAAAAAAAATTTTAAAAAAAAGTCACATACAAGGGCCAGATAAGTAGTACAGTGGGTAGGGCTCTTGTCTTGCGCATAGCTGACCCGGGTTCAATCCCTGGCACTGCATTTGGTCCCACAAGCCCCATTAAGAGTGATCCCTGAGTGCAGAGCCAGGAGTAAGTCCTGGGCATAGTCAGCTATTGCCCCAAAACAAACAAGCAAAAAGTCACATATGTCTGTTGAAATAAGTATTTCTCGTTAGTGTTCTAATCTAGCACTGACTTCATAGAACTAAATCACACTAAAACAACATAATTACATTATAAATTAATTAAAATGTTCTTAACTTACTTAGAGACTGCAATAGCTCTAACTTGTATTTTTCCATCCGGTAGAGTAATAGGCTTTGTATACTTAAATGTACTATTTTCACCATAACCAATTTTCTTTAGAAATTCAGGTTTGCTGCCATCCAGGGTATAGTATATATTGACATCTGGGGTGTCTGGGAAAAAATAGAGTAAAATTGTAGTTAATAGCAAGGTAACAAGTCCCCAAATAATGCCTACAGCTCAGTTTTTTAATGATTTTGTTTTGGGTCACTCCTAGCCGAACCTGAGCTTCGCTTGGAGCCTGTGGTGCTCAAAAACCGTGATCAATGCAAGGGATAGAAGCAGGATCAATCACATGCAGGAAAAGCATTGATTCCTGTCTCTCCAGTCTGTACTGAACAAAAATGCTTATAAGCTACAATAGGCGCATATGTGCTTATATACATTATATACAGAAATGTATATAACATATTTATGTACTTATAAGCAGTGATAACAATTTAGTTCTCCATGCCAGGTGCTGTACTTTAAACAAAATAACTGATTTCATCACTACAACCCTAAATAGGTCCTATTTATATCCATTTTAAAGGTGGGGAAACTAAAGTCCAAAGAGGCCAAGAAACTTGTTAAAGACCAGAAAGATATTACAGGAGTTAAGGCAGTTGCCTTGCAAGTGAAAACCCTGGTCTGATTTCCAGCACCATTTATGGTGCCCCAAGGATGACAAGCAGTGAGTCCTGAGCACAGAACCAGGAGCAGCCTGTAATAACCTGAGCTGTGGCCCAAGTCTTCTGACAGTTTACCTTCTGTTTGCTTGGTTCAATAGCTCTGCTATTGTGATTTTGGCTCTCCACATGAGCACTGATACAACAGACTAGAGCTTGATTCTAAGACCATGTCACTAATTTAAAAGCAAAGGTTGAAGTTTTCATTTTTTGAGCACTGCTAAGAAATTTTTTGGTCATATTTTATTGGATTGGAAAGTGGTTCCACAACTTAGTAGCAAACATTAAAAGTATTAAAAAAAAATTTAAGACTCAGAAAGTCAAAAGAAGACACATAACTAAAACTTCTCCTCATACTCTTTGGGTCAGACAGTAAAACAGTCAGGATGCTTGCTTGCCTTGCAAGCGGCCAACCTGGTCCTGGGCACCCCAAGTGCAGAGCCAGGAGTAAGCCCTGAGCACCACTGGGTTTGGCCCCAAAACTAAAACAAATTAAAATAAATAAAATAAAAATCTTCCTGCCACTCGAAATAAGTTGCCCCACAGCAGTCATAATACTTAATATAAGCACATATATACATATGACCCACCCCAATTTACCACATATACCATATTTGATTTCACATCTTTCCTATTTTAATTGAACAACAAACATATCTTGGTATAGGTATACTGATACAATGTATACTGGTACATAAAAAATATCCCCATTAACATTGTATGACTGAAATGTAATCACAAAAGTTTGTAAGTTTGTAACTGTATCTCACGGTGATTCATTAAAATAAAATTAAAAATGTATATCCTCATTCTTTGTTAAGGTTGTATCATATTCTCTATGCAGATAAACCAATTTTGTTTGTTTAATTTGGGGTCATACTCAGGAGTGTTCAGGACTTATTTTTGGCCCTATGCCCAGAGATTACTCCTGGTGAAGCTTTGGGAACCATTACTGTACTATATCTCTGGTCCAATAAACCAATTTTTAACCAATCTACAGAAAAACATTTTAGGCTTTCTACTCATCTATACAGTGTTATAAATATTTCTATTATTATTGATCTCCTATATTTCAAAAATGGAAATATCTGTAGTTTTAATTCTCCCTTGAGGGGGAGAGGGTCGAAAGGAACTGGGGACACTGGTGGAGTGAACTTGGCACTGGTGATGTGATTGTTGTTGGAACATTGTATACCTAAAACTCAATCACAAATAATTTTGTAAAGCACAGTGCCTTAAAAAAAAAAAAACGTAAAAATAAAATAAAATAAAGGGGAAAAAAAACATGTAAATTAAAAAACAAAACAAAAATAAAAAGAAGTATCCTCTAAGGGTTGAAGAGATAGTACAGTGGGAAAGGCACTTGCCTTGTACAACAGACCCAGCTTCGATCTCCAGTACCAAATATGGTCCCTGAACGCTACCAGGAATGACCCCTGAGCAGAGTCAGCAATATGCTCCGAGTGTAGTCAGGTGTGACCCAAACCACCCTCCCCCCAAAAGAAATGTGCTTTCAGGGTTGGAGTGAGAGTGCAGTGGGTGCAAGCAATCAAACTTAGTTTGATCCCCAGCACCATATAAAGTCTCCTGAGACCCACTAGAAATGATTGGTGAGTACAAAGGCACATGTAGGTCAAAAACAAGAAAGGAAGGAAAGGAGGGAGGGCGGGATTTTTTAATCGTAAATATTAAAAAAATTGCATACCCTATCATTCATGACATCATTTGTTCAAAATTGTTCAACATATTCTAAGCATTGTAGACACGTGATAAAATTTGTATTTTATTTTGACAACCTAAAAATATATTAGCTCTAATATAAAAGAAAATTATAATATACTATTGATTGGAATTTGCAGTCTAGGAAGCACAAGGGTTACACCATAAATTAAAAAATCTTTACTTTTTTTTTTGCAGTGCTCTACAGTTAGGCCACAGCTCTGACTTCACAAGCAGTTTTTAAACATGTCAGTTATTAAATATATAACTATATATTTATTGATTATGTATCAATGTGGGGCTGGAGTGATAGCACAGCGGTAGGGTGTTTGCCTTGCGTGCAGCTGGCCAAGCCGAGCCCAGTTCGATTCCTCCACCCCTCTCGGAGAGCCCGGCAAGCTACCAAGAGTATCTCGCCCACACAGCAAAGCCTAGCAAGCTACCCATGACATATTCAATATGTCAAATAAGTAACAACAAGTCTCATGATGGAGAGGCCAGCTCCAGTAAACCGATGAACAACGGGGGAGGGGGGGGGAGGACAGTGTTACAGTGTATCAATGCAATCCAAAAGTGATTGTTACAAGTATTTTTCAGATATTTTATCTATAAAACTTCCCCTTTTCCTCATGTTAATTACATGTGTGTATATGTGTGTATTTTCATGGAATTACCAAGAAATATATTTACTCTATTTCAGTAACAATAATTAAGATTTATTACATTCTAGACTCCCTGTACCTTATAGGTAAACTCATTTAATCCTCACAATGGTTCTGCATGGTATAATAATAATTAAGATTTACTACATTCCAGACTTTCTACACCTTATAGCTTAACTCATTTAATCCTCACAATGGTTCTGCAAGGTAAAACAATTAAATATTACTATCACAATTGAACAGTGAGAAAACCAAGACTCAGAAAGGTTAAATAATATGTTTATAATTATTAGGAGCTATCAAAAATCAAGATTTAATCTCCAACCTGTCGGTGTTCATAGACCAAATATATTTTCCCACTAAAATAGTGAATATCCTGAGAAAGTCTGGAGAAGCACCAGGATGTCTTACTGTGATCAGTGCTGACCATTTTGTCTAAGTACACAGATCTTTAAAAGCACCAAGTACAACACTTTCAAATTTTGAAAAGTACTATAAATTAAAGGTCCTGATTATAACTGCAATTAAATCAACAACCATATGAACCACAGGACAAGTTAAATGACTTCGAGGACATCTGATTCTTACCTGACTTCATCTCCAAAAGTGTGTTGTTATTAATTTCATTGTTGGCTTTTCCCGGCTGAGGCACTCGCAATGGTATGATCTGGGGGACACACACTGAACCAGCTGTCATTTTGCCTCCTTACAATGAAAAATAGGTGATAATTAATTACAATGAGGTCTTACACTTGAACACTAAAACTCAATAGAAAAGCCTCCTTTAAGGATAGTAAAACTGGTACAAACTAAAGAGAATACTTTAAATATACTCCTTATAGCACAGCAGTAGGTTGTTTGCCTTACAGGCGCCGGCCTGGCCACGAGCCGAGTTCAATTCCTCCACCCCTCCCGGAGAGCCCGGAAACCTACCTAGAGTATCTCCTCCCGCCCCCCCCCCCCACACACACACACAGCAAAGCCTGGCAAGAATCCACTAGAAGTATTTGATATGCCAAACACAGTAACAAGTCTCACAATGGAGAGGTTACTGGGCCTGCTCCAGCAAATCTATGAACAATGGGAGGACAGTGCTACAGTGCTACAATGTTACTGCATAGATGAACTATTATTTTAGCTGTATTACTGTATTTCAGTGATTTACAACAGCTCAGTTATGTATAAGGAACACAAATGAATGAAACAGAGGATGGAAATCTTTCAGAGGACATGTTAAATCAACATGTCAACTCAAAGACCATCCCAAATGATTTGATCCCAGCCCTGCTGCCTTACCCGCTGTGCTATCTCTCCATGCCCTGAGGGTATACTTCTTGCACCCTCACTCTATTTACAGTTTGCTAGCTTACTTATCGACGTAATCATCAATCTTATTTATCAACTTGTGGACTGAACATTTAAGGCTATTATTCGTTTCTATTATCCACACACACTTTATTCTGTGTGTGCGCGTGTGTTTCTAACGAGGCTTCCCCGAACACCTCGCGGTCCTGCTTGTGCGGACCCGCCTTCCCACACTGAGGCGCCTACACGCAAGGACTGGACTCTTGGAAAGTGCCGGCAGGAGGCGGGGCTTCGGCATGACGGAGCAGTGCTCAAGGGAGCAGTACCCACTAAGGAACAAGGACGGCGGGGTTGAGAGGGGAGCCCTTATATTTTCATTGAAACAAAAGTCAGTTGGAAGTAGGAATCATCGTAAAGGGGGTCGGCGGTCTGCTCGGGTATGCGAGGCGCTGAAGGAAACTCGGAGATGGATACACACAGCCCAAACGTCCAGGGAGGCTGCACACGGCGCCCCCCGCCAGCTCCCTCCCCGCCCGAACCCGTCACCCAATCTGGCTCCGTCCCGGCCCCCGAGAGTGAGGGGTCCGCCTGCCTCTCTGCTCCCCGCGACCCCACTTCCCGAACGAGCCCCTCTCACCGCCGCGGTTCTTCACGCACAGACCGGTTACCAGAGACGCCGCGACCGCGCCCCGCCCATGCAGGCGAGGACGCTGATTGGTGGGAGCCGGGCTTCCTGGCAACTAGCCCCGCCCCGCCGCGGCTGCCTAGCGGCAGCGCCTTTTCTCGATAAAGTTTCATCGGGGGCGTTCTAGAATGAAAAGAAAAAAAAACAGAGAAAGTGGAGGGGGGGAGGACACCCAATTCAAAGCGTCCGATCGGAACCAGGCTCGTCGTTCCGACCGCACTGACATTGTGGAAGTCTGAAGCGGGGCAGGCGCCACGCGGACACCTCAAGCCGAGGGAGAGGAAGGACCGGCTGCGACGCGAAGAGGAAGGCCCCACGGCGCGGTCTGTGCAGTTCCGGGCCGGCCCGTCTCCCCCGTTTCTTGCTGCAGCTGCATGATCCCAGCACCCCCACACTCACCCCGACACACACACACCCTCACACACCTCCCCCCCACACACACACACCTGGCCCCGTCGGAGGGCTGCCCCTCATGGCCGAAGTGAAGGTGAAGGTACAGCCGCCTGACGCGGACCCGGTTGAAATAGAAAACAGGTAAGCCTGTAATGACTGCGCCTCGGGGGCGTGCCTCCACCCGACCCCGTCTTGGTGCGCGCTAGAGCAGGTCCTGGAGCCCGCGGAGTCCGGGGTTGGAGGCCGCTGCGTTTTGGCAGAGCGGGACGCTTAGGGAGTCCACACGCGCTGGCGGCTTCGGGCAAGTTCCTTGGTGCGCCGCCCTCCCGCGTGGCGCCCCCGCCTCTGGGGCTGCGTGTTTCCCCCCCGGCACGTGTGGCGGTGGGCGGCCTCACAAGGGAAGGAGCGACAGAATGGGCGAAGTCCCGGCGCGGTTTGTGATTACAGGACGAGACCTGGCCAGATGGTTTTAGTGCCGCATTTACGAGTTTAGGGTACCAAAGCCTCTTCCAGGTTTTGTAGTGTGCCTGTGCTGTGTTAGTTTCATGGTCTTAACATGTACCATCTGTGGTGATCCTGTGCAAGCTGATGTATTTTTTTTTAATAATGTAGGAGTACTGCTGTTTATTCAGCCATTGATTAAGCTGATTGAATTGGGCATGAACTTCACATTACTTTTTTTATTCAGAATGTTTATTTTATTATTATTTCCCCCACCCCACCTTTTTTTTTTTTTTTTTTTGATTCACCATAAGATGCAGTTACAAAGCTTTCATGTTTGACTTTTGGTCATACAATCATCAAACACCCATCCCTTCACCAGTGCACATTTTCCACCACCAGAATCCTCAGTATTGCCCCCCCTCCCACTCCTGTTCCAACCCTCCCCCTGCCTCTTTGGCGGACAATTTCCCCCACACTCTCTCTCTACTTTGGTTACATTAGATATTTTGACACCAGTCTCACTACCACTCAAACCTGCTGAAAAGGCAATGCTAGACGATTTATTTTGTATTGCTCGTTATAGATAGAATATAATGTCCAGGAAATTCTGTGTCATTCTCTTTCAGGAGCTCTAGTTTATATTCACTGGGGCTTGGCCGTTGATGAGATTGCATGGCGCTAGGGGCAGTTTGTGGGTGTGACTGCCAAGCTACTGGAAAACTGGGGACCTGAGGGAAGGAGGCCCAGTCCCATCCAAGCGGGCCTGGAGATCTCAGTCACGAATTCCCACCTACCTCCACGCAACAGGCCCTAACTGCGTCTTTTGATCTCTTTCGAGATTTATGGGTCTCGGAAATAAGGCCAATAAATGACCTGAGCCAAGGTGTTTTGTGGGTGTGTCTCCCACATACCTAACTTTTGGTCATTTAATTTCTTGGTAAACTTGGCCCCAAGTTGTTGGGCTCTGGCCAAAGGCACAGCAGCAATTTGGGGGTATCTGGAGGTCTGACGGCCCCATCAGGCTGCTGATGCACTCGCCCCACAGGTACAGCTTGACATGCTAACAGCACAAGCTGATGTATTATTGACTTCTTTGTTCATTTCGGGAGCCACTCCTTGCCTGTTCAAGTGGCTTTGTGATGCCAGGCTTGAGCCATATCCCCAACCCTAAGTAGTAGTAGTTGTTGCTGTTGTTGTTGTTGTGTACAGGAATAACTCCAAGAGCAAGTCCCAATTATTGTATCAAAATCTGCCTTGCTTCTAGAAGTGTCTAATTGCCTAGTTTACAGCCTTAATACTTCCCAATGCTTTGTATCTTCACCTTGTATACTTGTTACAGATGAAATACTTGAAGGTTTAGCATGAACATATTTGTGTTTTCATGTGACTTCTATTTTAATTTTAAGTTCATATTACTACTGAGAAGGTACTCTTAGCAATAATAATGTAAATTCCCCAGGTGGGAATAGGTTTTGTGCCTTGGCCTGTTCCCCCTGGCAGCTTGGGGTCTGCCATCTTCCCTTTGAATGGACAGCCAGGTAGGGGCCCGCAGTGAGGAGACATGCAGGGCCTCATGGGATGGGGGCCGGGCTGGCCCTTTCCTCCCCTGCCCCAACAAGACCCCGAGTCACTGCCCATGAACGAGCCCTCTGGCTACTCAAGAAGCAGCTTAAACCATGATCCCAGAGACTCCGAAACGAATCCCTGAACCCAGCGGCGTTTGGCAGAAATCCCTCCAGATTTAATTAAGATTTCAGAATTTCAAAATAGATATTGTATACTATTCATTATCAGCAATAGAAAACAAGTTGTCTAATGTTGCCTTTTCAGCAGATGTGAGTGTTGGGGTAAAATCCCAAATAATGGTGGATCTGGTGTTGAAATATTGAATGTAATCAAAGTAGAGAGAGAGAAATGTGGAAACCATTTGCCACACAAGTAGGGAAGGGGTGGGATGGGGGTTATACTGGGGTTTTTGGTGGTAGGAAATTGCACTAGTGAAGGGACCGGTGTTTCATCATTGTATGACTGAGACTTAAACCTGAAAGCTTTGTAACTGCTCTCACAGTGATTCAATAAATTAATTTATAAAAATAAAATTAAAAGCATCAATAGTGGAAAAATAATAATAATAATGTAAATTTGTATTCTGAAAGATTCTCCACAGTATCATGCTTTAACTCACAATCATTAGAAACCCAAATAGTCAAATGTAAGAAAAAGCACAATTTCAAAACTGTTCTGCTAATATTTTTACCCCATTGCCTTATGGAATAGGGGAGAGCACAAATAATATGAATGTCTTTGTTTCCAGGATTATAGAATTATGCCACCAGTTCCCTCATGGAATTACAGACCAAGTAATTCAAAATGAAATGCCTCATATAGAAGCCCAACAACGAGCTGTGGCCATCAATAGACTATTGTCCATGGTAAGTTGAATCCGACCAGTGCTTGCAATTATGTGTTATGATTATTGTTACTTCTTATTGTGTTTCATGTAGTCATTTGGAGTGTGTGTGTGTGTGTGTGTGTGTGTGTGTGTTTGTTTGTTTGTTTGTTTTGGGTGTGTTTTGGGTATCTCAGCCACACACAGCTATGCTCAGAGCCTACTCCTGGCTTTGTGCTCCCGGATCACTCCTATTTTAAGAACTATACGTTGTGCCCGAGATTGAGCCTGAATTCACTACATGCGAGACACACCCTACCCTCTTACTATCTCTACAGCCTTTTCATGTAACTGGTTGAAAATATTATGTTGTATCTGATAAAATACTCCAAACTGGGGCTGAGAGATCAGGTTAGGTACTTGCTTTTCACATGACCAAACTGGGTTTGAATCTGGCACCCCATATGGTACACCAAGCATGGTTGGGAGTGATCCTGAGCACTGAGACGGGGTAACAATACCTGAGCACTAATGGGTGTCACCCCAAAACAAAAAAGATTCCAGACTTTGGGACCAGAAAGTAAGTATAGCAGATAAGGCACTTGCTTTGCATACTGATGATCTGGGGTCAATCACCAGCTCCCCACTTGGTCCCCAAGCCTGCTAGGAATAATCCCTGAGCACAGAGCAAAGAGTAAGTCCTGAGTACAGCCAGACGTGGCCAATACAAAAAACGGCAAATAAGTTCCCAAACTAAGAACTATCTTAAATGTGCCTGAACTGAGGAAAGAAGAAATAAGCACATTACTTTGCAATGAAGTAACCGTACGATGACTATTTATATTTATTAACTGATTGTTATTGTAATACATGGGGCACATAAGCAATTATTTGTTTCTCCTTTTGTTTGCTTTATACTGCTGCTGTTGGACCAGTCATCATAAAATACTCACCTCCCCACCTAATTTTTCTTCAAGCAGTCTCAGAACCAATTTATCAAGATGCTCCACATGGCCAACCCAGGTTCAGTCCCCAGCACCACATATAGTCCCCTGAGCCCTGCCAAGATGAAGCCTTGAGCACCACCGGATGTAGGTTCCCCCATAGCATATATAAGCTTTGCAGGCCATGTAGTTTTTGTTAACAACCGTTCCGCTCTGTACTTACTTTCAGATCATATATGAATAAATGGGTGTGGTTATGTTCCTGTAAAGTTTTATTTCTGAAAATAAGCAGGGGATCAGATTGCTGACCCCTCATTCAAAACAAGGATAAAGGACTGTTGCAGACTTTTAGTCAGTTTCTGAGGTAAAGGTCTTCAAGTAGAAGAAGTCTCTTCCAAGACCCACATATCAGTGAAATAGAATTTAAAATTCAGAACTGGACCCTCGGGTAAGTTAATCTTCGATAAAGGAGCAAAATTTATGAAGAGGAACAAGAAAAAAATTTCTTCAATAAATGGTGCTGAGAAAACTGGTCAACTAAAAAATAAATAAATAAACCCAGACCTCTAACACATGCACAAAAGTCAAAATGGATTAATGACCTCACTATCAGACCTGAATCTGTAAGTTCCATAGAGGAAAACAGAATTCTTCATGATATTGATACTAGAAACATCTTTAAGACCGAAACACCACTGACCAGACAAGTGGAAGCAAAGATAAAAAAAAAATGAGACGCTAAGAAGCTTCAGCACCTCAGAGGAAATCATGACCAGAATACAAAGACAGCCCACAAATTGGGAGATACTATTTGTCCACCATAGAGGGTTAATATCCAAGGTATATAAAGCACTTATAGAACTTTATGAGAAAAAAAAAATCCAACCCCATCAAAAAATGAGGATAAGAGATTAATGAGACTTTATCAAAAAAAAAATACAATGGCCAAAGGCATATGAAAAAATGCTCTATGTCACTGGTAATCAAGGAAATGCAAATCAAGGCAAACAACAAGATGTCACCTCACATCAGTGAGACTGAAAATCATTTAAAAGAACAACAACTAGTTATGAAAAATGTAGAGGAAAAGGCACCTTCATTCACTGTTGGTGAGGTTGTTAACTGGCCCAACCTTTTTGGAAGATAATACGGACATTCCTCAAAAAATTCGTAATTGAGAGGCTGGAGAGGTGGTGCAGCAGATAAGGTGTTTGCCTAGCATGCAGCCCGTCCAGGTTCAATCCTTGACACTCCATATGTTTCTTTGGGCCCCCTAGGAGTAGCTCTTGAGCACAGTCAGAAGTAACCCCAGAGCATTGCCAGGTATGGCCCCAAACAAAAACTAGTAGTTGAGTTTCCATATGACTGGTCATAGCAGTTCCACTCCCAAGGGCCCAAAAACAATGCAAAAAGGACATCTGCTCTTGCGTGTTCATTGCAGCATTACTTACAGTAACTCAAATGTGTGAACAACCCATGTGATCAGGAGTAGATGACTGGATAAAGAACCCGTGGTCCAGATACACAGTGGAATACTAATTTGACTGTAAGAAAAGATGAAGTCGGGTGCTCTTAATTCACACACTTATTTCCCAATCTATGTTCTTGCTATTGAATTTCTTCAGGCTCTTGACTTTTTACCTGGACTGTAATATAGTACTTCTTGGCTCCGTCTGTCTCACAGCACCCAGCTGATCTGTCTTTGTTTTTGGAGGGTGGAGTAGTTTGTGACCAAGTGGCACACAAGAGCTACTCCTGGTTCTGTTCTCAGGGGTCATTCCTGGCAGAATTCAGGAGACCCTATGTGGCACCATGAATCAAACTAGGGTCAGCCACATTCAAGGCAGCACCTTTACCCCTATACTATCTCTGGCCCTAGCTGAACTCTCTCAATACATATCTGACCAAATCGATTCTGCCTCCCATCCCACACAACTCCCTCCTCCCCACAAATTACTTTTCTATGCTAGAGATTTAAGTCCAGTTTTCTGCATTTTTCACATCTAGTTCATACCTTCCTCATCTGACTCATCTCCTTCTATTGTGTAAACAAAAGGGCTGCAACTTCTATCCCTCCTCACCTCCCTAGTCTCAGGCTGCTTCCTCCACCCTGGGGAGGTCGATGGCAATGGGCAGTCGAAGGAAGGAATGAGGGCTAAGTTGGTCTCAATTGCCGTTTATTCTAATCTCATCTCCATTCACTTCTGATTCTCCCTCTGCTTCTCACCCCAGTCATGCTACTTCATTCTCCTTCTCGATTCCTCTTCATTCTCCTTCTACCTCCTTCATTCTCCTCCTCCTCCTGGCTCTGGATACCCCAGCCCCTTCTTACAGCCTAGTTCAGTCCCCAAACATGAGGGATTGGGGCTTACATATAGGTGTGGTCACAATCAGTAGGGGTAAAGTTCTTTCCCTCAGGGGAGTCTTCTTCTAGGACAGATTCTCTTTCAGCAGGACGACCCGCCCAAGAGCAGAATCCCATGGATGTGTTTCTCCTCTCCTTATCCAACAAATATATAAACATTCATAATAGTAATCATTTTGTATGGACACAGGAAGACATACATTAATTAATGCTTATAGAATTGCTCTCCTGGGGTCATCTCAATCTCAGACTACAGTGCTCAGACCAGATTAGTCTTTCCTGTCCCTAGCAGGGTCCTAATCTGGTCATTACTTTTGAATCATGACAGCATCTGTCCATGACTATGCTCTCAACTTATAGTTGAGTATTGTGGCACTTTGGCCTGGCCCATTTCAATGCCAGGGTAGCTCACAGCTTGCCCTGGTCCCATTCAGTTCCTCATCGGGACCCTGCTTTTGGGGTGCTAGGAACAAAGGGCAACTGAGGCTTAAGTAGAGAAAGCAGAATGCCTGGGAGTGAATAATATTCGAAGCCAATTAAATCCCAAGTTACAAAAGCATAATATTAACTGTCTTCCTGTGTCTACTCAAAAAGGACATTGCTTTAAAGTAAACTATTCAATAGATGTAAGGAGAGGAGAAGGGCATATTAACTTACATATAAAATCATAGATTTCAGAGGAATCTGACCTTACAAGTTAACAGAGTCTGATTAGGGGGAAAAGCTGATTAATTGGTTGGGGAAGAGAGCATAGAGAAGTTACAGATAAGCACAGAGGAATGGGAGTGACTCGGGAACACTGTGATGGGTGCAACTGATAAACCTAAACTCCTTGTGGTAAGGGAAAAAGGACAAACCAAAGTCATCCTACATTCTATTACTGTTGCTGACAAGTTAGGTTTCTGAGAGGACAGATTGGTTCTGTGTCCTTGCTACTCTATGCTGTGTGGCTCAGGTCCTTTGCCCATTCTTTTTTTGTTTGTTTTTGTTTTTTGTTTTTTGTGTGTGTTTGGATCACACTCAGCAATGCTCAGGGATTACTGCTGGCTCTGTACACAGGAATTACTTCTACAGTGCTTGAGATGTTGGGGATTGAACGTGGGTTGCTGTCCATTATCTATCTATCTACGTACCTATCTTTCTTTCTTTCTTTCAATTTTTGAATCACTGTGAGATACAGTTACAAAGCTTTCATGTTTGAGTTTCAGTCATACAATGATCACACACCCATCCCTTCACCAGTGCATACCAGTGTCCCCAGTATTCTCCACACACCCCCATGGCAGACCAATTTCCCCCATACTGTCTCTCTAATTTGGGGCATTATGGTTTGCAATACAGATACTGAGAGGCTATCACATTTGGTCCTTTCTCTACTTTCAGCACAAATCTCCCATCTAGAACTATCCCTCCAACCATCATTGACTTGATGATCTCTTCTCTATTCCAGCTGCCTTCTCCCCTAGCTCATGAGGCAGGCTTCCAACCATGGAGCAGTATTCCTGGCCCTGTCTCTATGTCCTTGGATGTCAGTTTCATGTTATTTTATATTCCACAGATGAGTGCAGTCATTCTATGTCTGTCCCTCTCTTTCTGACTCATTTCACTTCGCATGATACTCTCCATGTCCATCCGTTTATAAGCAAATTTCATGACTTCATCTTTCCTAAACGCTGCATAATATTCCATTGTTGAGATGTACCAAAGTTTCTTTAACCAGTTTTTTGTTCTCAGCACTCGGGTTGTTTCCAGATTCTGGCTATTGTGAACAGTGCTTCAATGAACATACATGTGCAGATGTCATTTCTACTGTGATTTTTTTCACCCTCAGGATATATTACCAGAAGTGATATTGTGAGGTCATATGGAAGCTCAATTTCTAGTTTTTGAAGTAATTGCCCATATTGTTTTCCAAAAAGTCTGGACCAATCGGCATTCCCACCAACAATAAAAGATAATCCCTTTCTCTCCATATCCGTGCCAGCACTGGTTGTTCTTGTTCTTTTTGATATGTGTCAGATGATATCTCATTGTTGATTTTTCATCCCCTGATGATTAGCAATGTAGAGCATTTTTTCATGTGCCTTTTGGCCATTTGCATTTCTTTTTTGAGGAAGCTTCTATTCAGTTCTCCCCATTTTTTGATAGGGTTGGAGGTTTTTTCCTTGTACAGTTCTACGAGTGTCTTATATAACCTGGATGTTAACCCCTTATCTGACGGGTAGTGTGTAAATATACTTTCCCATTCCATGGGATTTCTCTGTATATTGGTAACTGTTTCCATTGGGGTGCAGAATCTTCTTAGTTTAATATAGTCCCATTGTTTATGTTTGTTTCCACTTGTTTGGAAACAAACAAGTAGTGTTTCATCCTTAAAGATGCTTTTAGCTTCAATATCATGTGGAGGGTTCTGCCTACTTTTTACTCCCCATACCTTACTGATTCAGGTCTGATTTGAGGTCTTTACTTTCATCTGACTTTTGTGCCTGGTGTTAGAGGTCAGAGTTCCATTTTTTTGTAGGTATCTGTCCAGTTTTCCTAGCACCATTTGTTGAAGTGGCTTTCCTTGTTCCACTTCACATTCTTGCTCCTTTATCAAAGATTAAGTGATCATATATTTGAGACTCTGTGACAGAATATTCAACTCTGTTCCATTGGTCTGCAGGTCTGTTTCTAATCCAGTACCATGCGGTTTTAATTACTACTGCTTTGTGATACAGTTTGAAGTTGGGAAAAGTGATGGCACCCATCTTCTTTTTCCCCTGGATTACTTTAGCTATTCGTGGGGGTTTATTGTTCTATATGAATTTCAGGAGTGTTTTGTCTATTTCTTTGGAAAATGTCATGGATATTTTGATAGGGACAGCATTAAATCTGTATAGTACTTTGGGGAGTATTGCCATTTTGATAATTGTAGTCCTCCCTATCCATGAGCAGGGGATGTGTCTCCATTTCCTAGTGTCTTCTTTTATTTCTTGAAGTAGTGTTTTGTAATTTTCTTTGTATAGGTCCTTCACCTCTTTTAGTTAAGCTGATTCCATGGTACTTGATTTTCTGAGGCAGTATTGTGAACCTGATTGGTTTTTTATCTCTCTTCCTTCTCTTTCATTATTTGTATATAGGAAAGCTGTGGACTTTTGGGTGATGATTTTATAATCTGCCACTTTACTATGCAAACCTATTGTTTCTAAGAGCTTTTTTGTAGAGTCTTCAGGATTTTCTAAGTATAGTATTATATCGTCCGCAAATAGTGATAGCTTGACTTCTTCCCTTCCTAGTTTATGCCCTTGATATCTTTTTCTTGTCTAACTGCTTTGGCAAAAACTTCCAGTACTATATCGGAGAGGAGTGGCGAGAGTGGGCAACCTTGTCTTTTTCCGATCTTAGTGGGAAGGCTTATAGTGTCTCCCCATTGAGAATAATGCTTGCTGTGGGCTTGTGGTTGATGGTTTTGACTATATTGAGGAAAGTTCCTTCAGTGCCCATTTTGCTGAGAGTTTTCATCATAAAACAGTGCTGAATCTTGTCAAATGCTTTCTCTGTATCTATTGATATGATCAGATGGTTTTAATCTTTTCTTTCATTGATAAAATGAATTATGTTGATTGCCTTGCGAATGTTAAACCATCATTGCATTCCAGGAATGAATCCTACTTGGTCATGGTCTAAGATCTTTTTGATGAGTCTTTGGATTATTCTGTTTGCTAAGATTTTGTTGAGCATCTTTGTGTCTGTGTTCATCAGGGATATCAGCCTGTAATTACCTTTCTTTGTGGTATCCCTGTCAGCTTTTGGTATCAGGGTGATATTTGCTTCATAGAAACTGTCTAGAAATGTTTCTGATTCTTCAATTTCCCGGAAAAGCTTGAAAAGAATGGGGAGTAAGTCCTTTAGAGATTTGGAAGAATTCACTGGTGAATCCATCTGGGCTAGGATTTTCGTTTTGAGGGGAGACTTAATACTGTTTCAATTCCTAGATGGCCTGTCATTATATTTCAAGATTCTTGCTATCAACTTCTATAAGTTTCCCTGAACACTCAGGGTGGGCCAGAACTTTATCTGAGATCCCATCCCATCTTCCCCTTAACTTTATTTCAGTTCAACCATATGTATTGAAGTTAGTGTGTGATTCTCTTTTATATATTTTGGTGTTTTGGGCCACACCTGGCATGCTTAAGGGTTACACCTGCCTCTGTGCTCAGGAATCACTCCTAGAAGGGCTCGGGGGACCATTGGTATGCTGGAGATTGAACCTGGGTCGGCTGCTTGCAAGGCAGGCGCCCTACCCGCTGTACTATCCCTCTATCCTCATGATTCTCCTTTAGAATTCATATTTGTCTCCACAAAACACCTCACAGTGAATGCTTGTATTCGGTGAATCCAGTGGCTAAATGGAGCCTTCAAATTGAATTTGTCATATAATCACCTTGAGGATAAAGGGATGGTGTTAACTATTCATACATAAGAACATTTCCAAGTCATAAGTCTTCCCATTCTTAACTCAGAGGAATAGGATCACTCTTAGGCATCTAGTCGTGCAACACACTTGAATGCTCTAGAGTTGATATCCAAAAAAATTCAGAAGCAGAGCCATGCCCAACAGTGTTCAGGGATTCCTCCCAGTGATGCTCAGGGAACCATCTAGTGCCAGGGATCCAACCACGGTTGATTACATGCATGCACGTCAAGCACCTTCACCTCTTAACTATCTCTCACCTAGAAGGGTGTTTTTTGATTTGTGGTATAAAAACAAAATTTTATCTTTTTATTCATAGGTTTATTTCTTTGCCTAATTTCTTATAACACTATAGAAATCACACATATCAGTAAATGTGACAGTTAACCTTGTTAACTTTATTATAGAGTATTTATGCATGTACAGCTTTTACTTGAACTCATGTAAATTATTTCTACCATTTTATTATATATTTATTGAATATATTTGAATATGAATTTTTGTTTATTCTGAAGCTGCTTTTTTAAAATTCTTTATCATGCATGTGGCTGAAGGTGGGGCCTTGCATGTGGCCAACCTGGGTTCGATGCCATATGGTCCCTGAGCACCACCAGGAGTAATCCCTGAGTGCATAACCTCGAGCATCATCAGTTGTGGCCCCAAAACAAAAACCTTTAGCACTGATTGTATAACCATGTCAGAATCCAGAATATAAAAATTGCTAGATAGGACTAGAGAGATAGTACAGAGTATAACGCGTTGCACATGGCCCACCCATATTCAATCGCCAGCATCCCATATGGTTACCCATATGAGATGGGTCCCCTGAGCACCGCCAGGAATAATTCCTGAGAGCAGAGTAATTCCTGACATCACCAGGTGTGACACCCCCAAGAAATGTTAGATATTAATATTTTAGAATATTATGAACTTAACAGCTGGATTTTTTTTTCTTTTTGGGTCACACCTGGCAATGCTCAGGGGTTACTCCTAACTCATGCACTTAGGAATTACTCCTGGCGGTGCTCAGGGGACCATATGGGATGCTGGAAATCAAACCTGGGTCAGCCGTGTGCAAGGCAAATGCCCTACCCGCTGTGCTATCACTCCAGCCCCAACAGCTAAATTTTTAAAGATACATTCCCATAAGCAAAAACTTTGGCGTCAAATGAGGAGCTTGAAAATAATTGGGAGGGGGCTGGAGTGATAGCACAGTGGGTAGGGTGTTTGCCTTGCACGCAACCTGACCAGGGTTCAATTCCCAGCATCCCATATGGTCTCCTGAGCATGGCCAGGAGTGGTTCCTGAGTGCATGAACCAGGAGTAACCCCTGAGCATTGCCGGGTGTGACCCAAAAAGCAAAAAAAAAAAAAAGAAAATAACTGGGAGTTAGGATGGTAGCACGGTCCTCCCATCGTTCATCGATTTCCTCAAGCAGGCCCAGTAACGTCTCCATCGTGACATCGTGAGATTTGTTGTTAATGTGTTTGGCATATTGAATATGTCACGGGTAGCTTGCCAAGCTTTGCCGTGTGGGTGAGATACTCTTGGTAGCTTGCCGGGCTCTCCAAGAGGGGCAGAGGAATTGAACCCAGCTCAGCCGGGCCGGCTTTGCACGAGGCAAACGCCCTACCACTGTGCTATCACTCCAGCCTGGGAGTTAGGATATATTTCAAAAATAATTCACTTTCTTTTTTTTTTTAAACCTTAGGGTCAGTTGGATCTTTTAAGGAGCAGTACAGGTCTCCTGTATAGAATAAAGGATTCTCAGAATGCTGGGTAAGCACTTATTTTTTTTTTAATTTGAGAAAATCTAATTATTACAAAAGTCCTTTGTTTCATGGGGCCATTAATTTGGTACAGAATTACATAGTGTAAACATTCGCGCCTCCTATCATGGTTTCTATTTCTCAGAGATAACTGCCCTTAATAATTTGGCAAATATCTTTAGTTCTGAACCTGTATAAATATGTGCAGCTATTTATCTGTTTATATACTACATATAATCTCTCTTTTTTTTTTTTAACAAAAAACGAGATCTTGCTTTATATACTGTTTGCAATTTGTCTCATTACATTTACTGTGCCTGGACATCTATTCATTCTGGCCCATATAGCCCTGTCTTTTGTAGTGGGTCCTTTTAATCGATAAGTCAATCTTTTGGCCTTTATGCTTATTCATAATCATGTAGATCAGTCTGTTCTCCTTTGCCCTTTTAATTCTACTTTATTCTCTTGCAGTAAAATGAAAGGATCAGATAACCAAGAAAAACTAGTATATCAAATAATAGAGGATGCTGGAAACAAAGGTAAGCATGAGAAAGAAAAAATACTGTTTTGAACCCAGATGTCGGGACTGGCTTCTTTGGTGGAGATTTCTGTGCCTCGGCTGTTAAAAGAGGAGATGAGTGTAACATACAGAGTAACATAGATGCTTAATGGACACCCAGGAGCAGTGCAATCATTGCCTCATTAGATTACTATAGGCAGGAATGGAAAGAAATATCTGAATTCTGAACCACATGAATGTATTACCAATTCAAAATAAAACAATGGGTTTTTTTGGTTTGGTTTGGTTTGGTTTGGTTTGGTTTGGTTTTGAGGGGTTGACTTTCAGTCAGAAGACCTGAAACTTCTGGTAGTTGAATGTGATAACCCAACAATACAGTTCTGTAAGGGCCCACCCTATGGTGCCAGGAGGTACCCCAGAGTTACTCAGGGTTCCTCCAGGCCCGCACACACGTATCCAGCAAAGCTTGGAGGACCAAGTAATTCTGGGCATTCAGTCGGGGTCAGACTTAGCCCCTGTACTATCCCTCTGACCTAAAACTTGAGAGTTTAGTAATTTTTTTTCTTTCTGTGGGTCCCACCTGGAAATGCACAGAGTTTACTCCTGGCTCTACACTCAGGAATTACTCCTGGCAGTACTCAGGGGACCATATGGGATGCTGGGAATCGAACTAGGGTAGGCCGCATGCAAGGCAAATGCCCTACCCACTGTGCTATCGCTCCAGCCCCCATTGTAAATTATTTCTAAACCAGTGATCAAATGCGGATCAAAGGATCTGAGCAGAGTTTGATCCCGGTTTAGAAAGGAAGCCTAACTTTCTTCATCTTTTTTGTTAATTGTGAATAACATCTCTGAGGTTTTTGCAGAAACTACAGATATATTTAATGCCGTGTTGATAAGATAGGTCCCTCCACAGCTCTTTAATACCTCTCCTATTCCATTCAAAGAACTATTTAGATTGCTATCATTAGTTTGTTCGATTATTTTTGTTTTGTTTGTTTGATTTGGGTTTTTGGCCTCTCCCAAGAAGTGCCCAGAGTTCACTCTTGGCAGTACTCAGGAGACTTGGGGATTGAATCTATGCCAGCCACATGCAAGGCAAGTACCTTACCACTGTACTATCTCTCTAGCCCCCCCCACTTAGTCTGTTTGAATGATTGATTCTAACTTCTGGTATTAACAATTATGTATTAACTTGAGATCATTTGGTTTCTATGATTATCATTTAAATGAAGATTTAACAATGGACACATAAAAAAATTCTATTAAAAAATAATTCTTCTGGACTGGAGAGAGAACAGTGGGTAGACTGCTTTCCTTGCTTATCGCCGACAAGGTTTGATCCCCAGCGTCCCATATGGTCCCTTGAGCCCACAAAGAATGATCCCTTAGTACAGAGCAAGGAGTAAACTGGCATGTCAAAAAAAAAATGCTTCAAATTCTTTAAAATAATATTATTTCATTATGCCTCTACTTTGAAAAGAAAATAGGATGATGGAACTGGAGAAATAAATGATACAAAGCGAGGAGTAGGCCCAGAGGTACATCCTATGTGTTACCCAACCACACTCCACCCCCAGCATCCCAAAAAGCTCAAGATTTTTCTTTCACTACAAAATTAGGCTTTTCATATGTATTTTTTATATGTGAGGGAGACCTCCCTAGTAAGTACTAAGTATCTGGGCTTCTCTCAGCCTTGTCTGAGAACTGCAGATACTTGGGGAGACCAGGGCCATGCCTTTTAGTGAAGTGGGGGGTGTAGGGGAGAATTAAGTGCCACGGATTGCACTTGGGTCCTGCTGCATATATTTGAATCATCTTTCTGGGCCCTTTTTTATGTTTTTCCCCCACTTTGTTTTTGTGGTACCAGAAATCAAACCCACAGCCTCACAATGTAAGGCAAATACTCAGCCCCTGAGTTCATCCTCAGCCCATAAAATGTTTTTAAAAGGTACAACTAGGGCTGGAGTGATAGTACAGAGGGTAGGGCATTTGCCTTGCAGGCAGCCGACCCAGGTTTGATTCCCAGCATCCCATATGGTCCCCCAAATACTGCCAGGAGTAATTCCTGAGTGCAAAGTCAGGAGTAACCCCTAGGCATCTCCGTGTGTAACCCAAAAGAAAAAAGGAAAAAAAGGTACAACAATAGGACTTTAACTATGCTCTAAGAACATATTTTGGAGGGCGAGAGGTGATTTGGGCGATATACTCAGGGCCTTTTCCTGGCTCTTTGGTCAGGGATCACTCCTGGCAGTGCTTAAAGAAATATTTGTGGTACTGGGGATTGAACTGGAGTTACTGCATGTAAGGCAAGTCTTAACCCCCTATATTATCTCCCTGGCCTTAAGAGTATATATTCACGTGTTTTACTAGTTTTAGAATGAAATATAAGTAATAAGATATATGCACAAATCCCATAAGTGCCTAACTTAATTTATTTTCCTCTTACAGGAATATGGAGCCGAGATATCCGATACAAAAGTAATTTGCCATTAACAGAGATTAACAAAATCCTAAAGAATTTGGAAAGTAAAAAGCTTATCAAAGCTGTTAAGTCTGTGGCCGTGAGTAATTTTCTTTTACTTCCCGATTGTTTACTATATATACATTTGCTCCAGCTGTGTATCTCTGTGCACATGCACTACCTGTTAAACCCACACCAACTCTTGTATTTTAACCACTTAAAGATCTAAAACTAATTTGCTCTCTTCCATACTATGCAGCTGTTAAGAAAGTTGAGGTCATGAAATTTGCTTGTAAGTGGATGGTCATGGAGAGTATCATGCCAAGTGATAAGAGTCAGAGAGTGACAGACATAGAAAGACTGTTATTTTATATTGAGGAATATAAATTAACATAATAGGAGACTGACACCCAAGGACAGTAGACATAAGGGCCAGGAAGATTGCTCCATGGTTGGAAGCCTGCCTCATGAGCTAGGGGAGAAGGCAGCTGGAATAGAGAAGAGATCAAGTCAATGATGATTGGAGGGATGGTTCTAGATGGGAGATTTGTGCTGAAAGTAGATAAAGGACCAGATGTGATAGCCTCTCAGTATCTGTATTGCAAACCAAATACCCCAAAGTAGAGAGAGAGTATGGGGGAAATTGTCTGCCATGGGGGGTTTGGGGGTTGTAGAATATGGGGACATTGGTATACACTGGTGGAGGGATGGGTGTGTGATCATTGTATGACTGAAACTCAAACATGAAAGCTTTGCAACTGTATCTCACGGTGATTTAATAAAAAAAACTTTTTTTTAATTTGCTCTCTTTTATAGAGAATTTTTGAGGTCATGAAAATATTTTATGGTATGTCTGGTCATTTATTTCATCCTGGCACATTAACATACTCATTAAACAAATGCCTTGCATTTATTTGCTATGTGGCAGGCTCTGTTCTGGATGCCTAGAGGGAAAGCCAGAAAGATCCTTGTCCTGGTTGAACCTCTGTTGCAGCACACTGCTGATTCTCCCCCTTATCCTGCCCTAGTCTTGTCAGATCCCTCAGGCTCCATTCTTCAGAGCTAGCTCTAGCCGGGACTTTTAACTGCTGACCTCAACGGTTTTAGGCAATAGAGGAGCTAAGCTATTCCTGCCAGATGTTCCCAGACTTACTTAGAACAAATTACTCAGACCCTGTAAACCTACCTTCTCTAAGCAAACAGAATGCACCCACACACCCAAGATGACTACCAGTGCCTGGACCGCTCGGTTCCTTCCCGGGAGCAGTACTACCTATTTATTGTTTACCTTTTGTATTGAAATATCATTGTATTATAATGGAGGTTTCAAGTGGATATCATCAAAAGTCAAGTGTGATGTTGCACAAGCTTATTTGATTTAGTTCATTTCACCTAGTGTGATTTTATCAAGTGATTTTGTATCATACTGTTTCATAATTTCTTTAACTGATAGTTTCAAATATATTCAAAATTAGAGGAAATAATATAGTAAACCCCCAAGTACCTAGTTACTAGTTTCAAAATTTCACTAGTTTTCCTTCTACTTCTCTTTTTGTTTGGCTTGGTTTTAGGCCACACGAGACAGTGCCCAAGGCTTACTCTTGGCTCTATACTCAGTGATCACTCCTGGCTCTGTGCTCAAGGAACCTTATGTGGTACAGAGGATTGAACTGGAATTGGCCATGTGTAAGGCAAGCGCCTTACCTCCCTAACTGCCCCCTGCCCATTCTTTCTCCCCAACCCATACATCCTTTTAATAACTCTGTTGAGGTATAATTAGCATATCATCGTTTAAGTATATCATCAAGTTGATCCTTTTAAAGTGTATAGTTCAGTGTTTTTTAGTATACTCATCAAGTCATGTACCCATCACACTGTGTTAATTTTAGGCTATTTCATGATCTCATAAAACAACCCTACATGATCTCATAACAACAACCTGCAGGCCCTGAAAACTACTTGTACAGTCTTTTCTATAGATCTGCCTATTTTGGATGTTTCATATAAATAAATTCATATAGTATGTGGTCTTTGTGTCTGGTTTTTTACTTAGTATTTTTGAGGTTGAGATTATAATCCAAATTATAAAGCATTCATGAGTCCATACTGATTGATTGTTTTTGTGGGGGGGAGCCACATCCAACTTTGTTAAGAGTTTAGTCTTGGCTCTGAGCTCAGGAATAACTCCTGGTAGTGCTTGGGGGACCATATGGGGTGCTGGGGCTCAAACCCTGGTCAGCTGTAAGGCAAGCGCCTTAACGTGCTGCATTCTCTCTGGCTTCTCTTTGATAAATATTTTAATAAAGTAGAATAGACAAATCTCCCATGAAGAAGAGTTTCAGATAATTTATGTGAATACTCCAGCCTCAAAGTTGAATCCACACTCTAGTGTGGACTGTGCCTGTGACTTCCTTCCATGTGCGGAAATGATGGGGACAGGAAATACCTTCATGTCGGAGAAAACTTAGAAATACACCTAGTGATCATGATTGGTATCTACACTGATCAGTCACATTACTGTTATTACAGTCGTGACCTGGTGACAAATACCCTTTTTAGGAAGTGATGAGAAAGGCTGAAAATTTACAGTAAAGAGACATCCAATATCTGGCCAGAAATTCTCAGCTGTCAAGGAAACTGAGAACACAGTAAGGAGTCTCAGAAAATGATGTAATCAAAAACTTAAGGAGACCTGATAGCCAAATGTAATGTGTATCTTGGACAGGATCCTTGCCCAGAAGCAGAATATTAGGGGGAAACTAAGGAAGCCTGACTAAAGAACAGGATTTAATAATGTATTATGACCAGGAATGTAGCTCATCAGTACAACAGTTCATTTAGAAATTTGTGTTGCCTTATAAGCAGATTTGCTTTGCTTGTTTTTTAGGCCTCAAAAAAAAAGGTATATATGCTGTATAACTTGCAGCCAGACCGTTCTGTAACCGGTGGAGCTTGGTACAGTGACCAAGATTTTGAATCTGAATTTGTGGAAGTGCTTAACCAACAGTGTTTTAAATTCCTTCAATCCAAGGTAAATGCAAAAAAAATGCACTGAAGGTACATTATAAAAAAATTTTTTTTCAATCTTTAAGTTTAACTTGTAGACTAATAGGAATTGAAAATAGTGAAGTTGTCATTTTTGCTCTTGATTTCTCTCTGTATAAACTGTATTCAGAAACCACCAGAATTTTTACTGAGATTTATATTTTTACCCCTCTAGGCAGAAACAGCACGAGAAAGCAAACAGAATCCAATGATCCAAAGAAACAGTTCGTTTGCCTCGTCTCATGAAGTTTGGAAATATATCTGTGAATTAGGGATCAGTAAGGTCAGAATTCAATTTTTAATATTCATCTTTTTAAAAATCTGTGCTACATAGTTTATAGTATATTCCAAATATAATTTGACGGATTCATTTTTTTCAAGTGATACCTATAAATGTTCTTCTAGAGAATTCTGAGAAAGTGCTCTTCTTAGCCACTAGGCCAGGTGGTCCTTGCCATTAAACACTGTCTGGAACTGTGGGTTTCTGAGTTTGGGTTACAGAGCAGCAGAGAGGGTCTTGGCAATGCATTTCATTATCAAAATTGAAAAGTCTGTGCTGACAAGTTCTTAATTCTCTCAGGGGCATTTTAACATATGTGCCAAATGCCAGTTACTTGTCATCGATTAGCATTTACCTTCTTAGGAGATATAAGAGGTGTTACAGTCTTTAGAAGACCTCTACAAAAGAATGGTTTCTGGATGCTTTTCATGGCCAGAGAAAACATTAAAGTGGTTTCTTAAACAAATCATTTTCGTTTCCATTTCCTGAGTCCTAGATTTCTTATTTAAGAAGAGTGGGGAGAAAAGTAAAACTAGAAACTTGGACTACTTGATGCTTTAAGTAACTTTCTGCTTGAGCATCAAATTCTTTTTTTTTTTTTAATTTTATAAAGTAGTTCACAACAATTGATTACATTTAATATTCAGACACCAATCCCACCACCATTACACCTCCCACTACCATATTTCGGATGTTTTCATTCCAATCCCCAACCCCTGCCCCAAAGCAGAACCAAAATAATATATTTTGTATTATTTATTATGAAAAACGGCTGAAAATACTACAAAAGTTTCCTTAGGATAAAGAATGTGAAGATTGTTGTATTTCACCCAGGGGCCATTAAGCCCTTCTATAAGAGATCACTAACGTGTTGTTAAAGGTTGAGCCTTGTATGCTTATATATATCCGTGAAAAAAAAATTTTTTTTCCTCTAAGATTGGTTGCCTCCTGTTTTGAACCCCATAAAATGTGGTGTGATACTTTTGAAATATGGGGATGGGGGGTGTGGTATGAAGTGTCGTGTGCCCACAAATGCAGTCGCGCAGTCCAGGAATAGGTTCACTCGTGGGTGAGACTCGGCCTGAGCATGTGGAGAACAGCCGTGAGCAGGGCAGTGATTGAGTTCTGGAGTTTTTCTGCTGCTGGAATTGGGTCTCGGGGTGGGAAGGGGTCTCACCCAGCTCCCTCCCCGGGCTCCCCAAGTGAAACAGCCTAGCGCAGGGTCTGGTGGCATGGTTATGGCAAGTGGCATGTTATGCTCCCTTCTGAGAGAGAAGGACATGAGAGTCTGGATGGTGGCCAATGACGTGATTACCTGGCACCAGCCAGAGGTGGCTTATGGAGAGCATCAAATTCTTGCCAAAGAAGTACGACCTTTGGGCTGGAGCAATCGTACAGTGGGTAGGGCATTTGCCTTGGCACGTGGCTGACCTGTGTTCAATACCTGGCTTCCCATATAGTTCCCCAAGCATTGCCAGGAGTAACTCCTTTGTGCAGAGCCAGGAGTAACCTCTGAATATCACCAGGTGTGACCCAAAAAGCACACACACACAAAAAAGTGACTTTTATGAAGTTTCTAGATTTCACTTAGGAGTGCCAGAGAGCTAGTACATAGGTTAAGGCACTTCCTTGTATACAGTCAGCCCTAGTGCAATCCTCAGCACCATATAAATGGTGCTCTGAGCGCCATTAGATCCACTCAAGTACAAAGCCAGAAATAGTCCCTGAGTAATGCTGGGTGGCTCAGTTCCCTACCCCCGCCTAATAATAAAATCAAGATTTTACTTGGAAAAAATTCTGCCCCTCGTGTTTGTGCTAACTTAAGCTATTCAGCCTTTTGTGTTTTCAGCTATTCTTAGTGCTTCCCCATTTCACTGAAGAATTGTGACTTTTTGGGGGGGGGGGGGGGGTTCGGGGACACACCCTGTGGTACTCAGGAGCTACTCTTGGCCTTGTGCTCAGGGTAGCTCTGTGTGGTGCTGGCAATTTGAAACAGGGTCAGCAAGTATGTAAGGCAAGTGCTTTACCCTCTGTACTGTCTCCAGCCTAATTGTGACTGTTTGTAACACCCTTCAAAAGGACATCTCCTCGTCTTTTGTGCCCTTTCTAATGTTTCCCTTTTCAGGTAGAGTTGTCCATGGAGGATATTGAAACCATCTTGAATACACTCATCTATGATGGGAAAGTGGAGATGACTATCATTGCTGCGAAAGAAGGCACGGTTGGCAGTATTGATGGACACATGAAACTGTACAGGGCAGTCAATCCGATTATCCCTCCCACAGGTTTGGTCCGAGCTCCCTGTGGACTCTGCCCAGTAAGTTAAAGTGGTTTCATTTAACACTTGGCCATAAACCATTGTAGAAAACACACGTGCCACATAACATCCCAGCAAGCACAGTACATTTATTTCAGACTATAAGGGATGACCAAGAGCTGCATGTGATGGAGCTTTAATGAATAAATCACTTCTTTACTTCCTGTATTAGAATAACTAGGTTAAAGAAATTGGGGTTTCCTGCTCTTTTTGATAAGGGCTATGTTAATGTAAGTGGGAAGGGAATGAAGCTTTGTTAGGAATCTACCATGCTATGTTCTTGGTGATTTATGTGGCCTTGGGAGACCTAAGATCACAAGCTGAAAAGTAACAAACATGATGTTCTTAGTTTAATTTTGGTTTTGTTTTTTTTTGTGGTGCCAGGCAATGCAAGTGCTTTTTTACTGAGTTATATTCCTAACCTAATATTCTTTACCCTGTAGCATCACTTTAAGACCTATTAGTGCCAGCTGTGTGCCGTGGGCATTGCCCCATCCTGATGGCACTCGGATTTATGGGCTGCTGGTCTGTTTTATTTCATTATATACTGGGTCCCTGTATATATAACCAGTGTTCTCTACCATGGTTTCAACTCCTACAGTAAAAAAAGGCTAGCATATTCCATATTTTCTGATTCTGTTTCTTGCTTCACACACATAAAATTTTTAAACATGGGCAGGAGAGATAGATTAGCGGGCAGGGCTCTTATTTCGCATGTGGCCAACCCAGATTCGATCCCTGGCACCCCATATGGTCTCTTGAGCATAGCCAGTTGTGGCCACAAAAGAAAACAAAACAAAATTCTAAACATGCAATGCTTGACTAACCAAGTTACTGGTCAGTTTAGATCTTAATTTTCTGTACTCCTGTTACCTTCTGAGACTTAGGCCAATGGGGAAGTGAACAAGGTTATTTTAAGGCTACAGTAAAAGGGTTCATTAACTCTCACAAAGGTCTTTTTTTCAACACCCCCCCCCCATACACACACACACACACACACACACACACACACACTTTGGTTTTTGCGCCACACCCAGTGAAGCTCAAGGATCTGCACTCAGGAATCAATCCTGGTGATTCCAGGGAACCATATGGGATGCTAAAGATCAAACACAAGCCAGTTGGATGCAAGGCAGATGCCTTGCCCACTATACTATAGCTTCAGCCCCAGGTCCTGTTTTTTTGTTATTGTTTTATTTGCTTTGGGGCCACATGCAGAGATGCTCAAGCTTACTCTTGGCTCTGCATTCAGCGATCAGTCCTGGCCGGGGTTGGGGCACCATACGGGGCGCGGGAGATCAAACCCAGGTCGGCCATTTGCAAGGCAAGTGCCTTACCTGCTGTACCATCTATCTCTCTGACCTCTTAGGTTCTATTATTATATATAACCTTAACACATTGACACCGACATATGCCACTTGTGGCTCACACTTGATTATGCTTTAATTATACAAATTGAGGTGTCCGTGTCAATATGTTAATCTCTTTCAGTTTGAGAGTTTTATTTTTACTATTGCTTTAAATGCTTGGAGCCTGGGTATTTAAGAGAAATTTTAGTTGTGATTGACATTTAAGATCTTTGCCTATAATAGTTTTGGGTTTTTTAATTTATTTTAAATTTGTTTTATTTTCATAAGGATACTTTATGAAAAAATACTTTGTGAAACTTGAAGATACCTTTAAAGAAAATAAAGTTTTTAATAACATCAAAATTAAAACTTGATCTACATCATATTGAGCTTAGATCAAGCAAGACTACTACACTTGATTGTTCAAATGAGTATTATTACAAATGTTATTTTGTCTTTAATAATCTGTAATAGTGATGTAGCTCAGTATCTATGCATGAAAATGGGAAATATTTTGATGTGTTTACTTGTAGTGCCAAGTGGTTCCTGAGTGCAGTATCCACAACATTAAATCCAAGATCTGGGTATTTAAAAAAAAAATTAATGTTTAAACAGATATCACTGATACCTTTGCACTATATGTTAATAAAATCATGTTGTTTAAAAAGGTTTTTTGAAGTCGTTTTATAGTTGTAGAGTTTATACCTTTATATTGGAATGGTTCTCAAAACTGAATATAAACTTTTTTCTTTTTAAAGGTTTTTGATGACTGCCATGAAGGTGGTGAAATTTCACCATCAAATTGTATTTATATGACAGAGTGGCTTGAATTTTAATGGGATTCATTAAATTCCATGGCATTTTACAAATGAAGTTACTTTGGAAGAAAATAATTTGACTCATGATGGATCACCAAATTCCCTGGGAGCAAACTATAGTATTGGATATCCGATTTGCTGCTATGAAGAATGGTCTTTGTTTAAAATCTACCAAGACTAAATTTTATATTGGTAGAATAACCAACAGTAATGGGCAGGTAAGTTAGTAGTGAAATCCATTCTTCAATAAATAATATGCTTGTAAGTTGTGGAGGAGGACTCCTCTGAAGCTTTTGAGTCTACACACTTCAAGAAAAAAGAAGCTGAAAGTCACCATTTACTGAGTTCTGTTGTAATGGCTAGGATTTAAAATGCACATTTCAAGTTTAAGATTTTCATTGGAAATTTTATTATTTGGTTCATTATCACTTTCTCTGTTTCTCAGAAGTTTCATTAAGATTAAATTATAAGTGGTAAATCCAGGAATAATGGGCGCGTATGCAAACTTGGGGAAGGAGGGAGAGAAATGAATGGAATATCCTTTTCCACACTTTAATTTCTTTTTTATTTGAAATACTTTATGAGTATTATGCCACTGTATTTACCATGTTTCACCACATAATCATTTCACTGCATGATTGTATCCTGTGTTTTCAGGAATACTGACAAAATTTTAAGGGGCTGGAAAGATACAGCAGGTAAGGCACTTGCCTTACATGCTGCCAAACCAATTTTAATTCCTGGCACCTCAGATGGTCCCCTGAGCTCTACCAGGAGTGGTTTCTGATTGTAGTCAGAAGTATAGGCCACCAGTTGTGGCCCCAAAACAGAAACAACAAAAATTTTTACAAGCCTTACATACATAAAACAAACCCCAAAAGCTCCACATAATACACATGATTATGCCCCACTTTTTGTTGCAAAATAAACAACAAAAAAATTTTTAATAGCATGAAATCTGTGACAATATTCAGTGAAATACAAGATCACAAACTCAAGTGGTAACTGTTGTCAGGGACCTGTTTCCATTGTGTAAATTTAGTGGGCGTATTTCTACCTAGCCTTTGTTAGTTTTACAAGTCTCACTTTATGGCTCACCTGTATTATTTCCCCTCGCTCCCCAGACTATCATCCTTTAAAATGAATACACACAAAAATAGATATTTCTTGAAGTCTGTCAAGACCCACGTATACTTAATAATAACCCATAAAGCAGCATATTTATAAGAGTGTATGGCATATAAGTGTGGCAAATTTATAAAATGCCATGCTTCTATGATTTAAAGGATATTTATGTGCTGCTTTTCCCCTTGAAATTCCTTGATTTCCATTTGGAGAAATGAGCTTTAATATGTCATTTTTATTCTGACCAACTCAGTAAACTAGCCATATAAGTAATTTTAGGTTTTTAGTTGCTTTTCCTTTATTACTCATTATTAGAGGGTGAGGGAAGGATATAAAATATATGTTGCATAACTACTGCTATCCAGTAGAACTTTGGATAAGGACAGAGTGAAGAACTGAGTTACTATTATGGGGGCTGCAGCAATTGTGGGGGAAGGTATACGAACTGGTGGAAACCAAGCCAGGACCAATCCCTGAATTTTTAATTTTATAACTCTTATGGTTACTGGTTATAATATTGTGAGGAACAACTTAACAATCACATAAATGTTTATTAATTTTTATGGGAATAATATAAAATTTATCCTCAATTGTTTATATGTGTTTTTTCCTATGGAAGAAAAGGACAATAAAGTGTTAACACTTATCTGTACAAGCGTGTCTTTGTTTGAGAAAGGTCTTAAGAAAAGAGTTAGTAGAGCAATTACTATTTCCAAATAGTTCAAGTAGAATCAGACTTTAATTAAAGTTAAATGAATGCTAAGGAGCCTCTTTAAGGAAGACATTCAACTAATTTATCTAATTTGATTTTAAGTTACCATATTGTTTTAATATTAATTATATTTTCATTATGAACACATTTAATATGACAATTTCAAATAACCATTAATGTGTATGAAATTAAAAAGATTTCTACCAAAACAAACCTACCAGAATCTTCATTCTCTAAAGATAACTACTGCTGAAATTTAGTCTTTTCTAACATACGTTTTTTTGAAGTAGGAAGCAGATTTAGAGGTCAAAAGTATTTTGAGGTTTATTTGATGGATTTGGGTACCTTCTAGGCACAGTGAGAATTCACACTGCAGCAAACATCAGGTTGTACATTAGGCGTGGATTCACTGGAAATTGTTTGAGGCATCATAAAGGATATTACAGCCCCGAAAGTGTCAGGAAATTAAAAAGGTTTTTTGAGGGAATATAATCTAAACAATCATGAATTGGTCCATGAAAGAGATCTTTATTATAAAAGTTAAAAGATAGCTAGACCAGGGCTGGAGAGGTAGTACAATGGGTAGGATGATTGCCTTGCTGTGACATCCCATATGTTCCCCTGCACACTGTCAGGAGTGAGCCCTGAGCGTTGCTGGGTGAGACCCTTCCCCCCAAGAAAAGGATCGGTATTTGTAACAAAAGCAAATGGTTCCCAGGATTCATCTTCTGACATCTTTATTTCTCAAGCTTTACAAAGAATCATTTCAAGCACCTAGGGAAATACCATGGCAGTGTAGCACTTCATACTAGCCAAGCTATCTGTAGCGGAGCCTTGATGAAAGGCTTGTTATATGACAGCTGGATTTAAGAAGTGCAGCATTAAAACAAGAGTCATGAATTTCTTGGGAGTGGAGCAATAGCACAGCGGGTAGGGCATTTGCCTTGCACGCAGCCGACCTGGGTTCGATTCCCAGCATCCCATATGGTCCCTTGAGCACCACCAGGAATAATTCCTGTGCATCACCAGGTATGACCCAAAAAGGAAAAAAAAACCCCATGAATTTCTTAAGCCCCGTACGTAAGGACACATTCGGAGTTAAAATTCACAGGCACAACTGGAAAAAGAAAAAAAAAAATACTATGGCAGTAGTCATATGGATGGCTTGAATTTTGTATTTTTGCAGTATTAGTTTTACACTGCAGCTGCACTGCAGTTGATAATTCAAATAATTCCTATGTATGCAAGGTAATCTAATAACTCGTTGATAATTTCGTTATTCAAATAAATCATGTAAATATAATGTACCAACATACATATTCCCTGACTATACAAACCACTCTCAAGTTTTATCCTAAAAAATAAAAATCACCAATGGCAATACCTTGCCACGTTCATACATTAATAATTCATACTTAAGTCCTCCACATTGCCCAAATCCTCAACTATTTTTATGTCAGTCTCATTGACTGTGCTGAGATACATACATATATATGATATGTATATATCATATAGGCTGGAGCGATAGCACAACAGATAAGGCATTTGCCTTGCATGTAGCCGACTTGGCTGGCCCAGGTTCAATTCCTCCGCCCTCTCGGAGAGCCCGGCAAGCTACCGAGAGTATCTCACCTGCATGGCAAAGCCTGGCAAGCTACCAAGCTACCCGTGACTATTCAATATGTCAAACACAGGAACAAGTCTCACAATGGAGATGTTACTGGGCCCACTCGAGCAAATCAATGAACAACGGGAGGACAGTGCTACAGTGCTATGCTTTATAATGAATGCTTGAACTGCTAGAAGTTTTCTCAACACCATTTGCTCTGTCCCGTATGTTCTAGTAGCTATATATATATATGGGCTATGCTTACAGTCACTGCCTGATCCTTGCATGCTCAATTCGTGGTATCCAGAGGTGGTACCACCTCAGCACATTTGAACGAGTGGAATCATTCAAACAGTGTCCAACCATTAAGGCTTAAGTCTGGGTTTAATATCTTGGGACAGTTTGAAGCAGCAGTTGGTGTTTTGAGCTATAAGCCAGTTCTGGACCTTTAGTCATGTTTTCTTTACCCAACAGAAAAGTTCTATCTCAGAGAGGAATGCAAATCTTAAAACAGCTGATACCCATTTAGCTTTAATCTGGACTGGGAGTCAGGACGACTGGGTTTCTTCTGTCTTACTCTGGATAGATATAGGGAGTTAAGCAATCCTTATGTCCCCTACCAAACAGGAAAGTGCTATATTTCACAGCAATTTAAGGAACTGTAGATTTAAAGGAAAATGGAAATGCTTCTTGTCACTTAAACTCTGAGCACCGAGACTTGTGTTTGTTTTTAAGGCATTTTTTAAAAGAACTTACTTTGATCTCTTTCGTGTCCAGTAATCACCTCATAGTATCTAACAGTAATCTGATTGTTGCTCTACCTATATCTTGGGACACAGAATAGCAGAAATCCTGTCTACCCTGGTACTTTCAACATAGACTTTACCACATTTATCAGTTCGTGAAACTCTGTGTTCTGAAAGTGACCACGGTCAGTGAATCTGTACAATTTCGCTTCCAACCTATCAGCCACTTCTTGCTGTTCTTTCCAGGGAAGGAAAGGATCATCGGTAGAGCCAAACTGCACAATGTGAGGGCAGTTAGCTTTAATCTTTTCCCATTGCCAGGGACGGTTAAAGTATCCTATGGGAGAGAAAATACAGGTATCATATTTCTCAGTGTCTAAGAGCAACTACCACTATCATACTAGATAAAGAACCAGAATTTAACTTTAAGTAAGTCCACTTCTTTAGTTTACCCATCTGTAGGGTTTAAATAAAACCAGGCCTCCAGACTACAATTTTAGTCTATGGATTAGTAGTAGTCTAGTAGTAGTATACCTAACCATATCAATTCATGGGTGTAGATACTTCTCTTCTTATATTTTAGCCTATCTGAAAGGATCCCATTTCATATCCTGAAAAAGTAGCTACAGGACTGGAAGATGGACTCTTGTAGGGTTTCTGCCTTTCAACTTACCACTTGCGCGCTCATTTGCATCCCCCAAGTCTGAGGTATAAGCAGACACTAATACAATAGCATATACTTGATGTGTTTCTGCATACCTAGAGAGAGAAAAATTATGTTAACCAATATTTCACAATCTCATCACCAAAGTCACTTGGCTACTTGAAGAGTTTCTAGTCAATTTATCAGCATTATTTAGTTTACAAATAATGTACCTGAAGTATCGGACTGAGAGGATTGGAACTGAGGCCCAGGAACCTCATTACATATTATCACACCTCCCCTATCCCAGGTGAGTATGGCAAGTGGTCTGGAAGCTAGGGTGATGGCTCAAAGGGCTGAAATGCATACATGCTTTGCATGTGATCCTTGTTTTTGGACCACACCTGGTGGCACTCAGGGCTTACTCCTGGCTCTAGACCTCTGGCTGTGCCCAGGGGACCATACTGAAGTCTGAACACAGGTAGGCCTGTGCAATGCAAGCACCCTACCCACTGTGCTATCACTCTGGCCCCTCTACCAAATTTTTAAAAAATAATGTACCATAGCAGAAAAATACCTGTTTTTTGAGTGAGGCTGGGGGATTGGGCCATAGACAGCTGTGCTCAGGGATCACTCCTGGTGGTGCTTAGGAAACCCTAAGTAGTGTGGGGAATCAAACCTTGGGTCGATCGCATACAAGGACCTTATCCTTTGTACTGTCTCTCCAGCCCAGAAATTTTTATCATTTACTTCACATAGTACACTACTGACTCCTGTATGTCTTATTCTGTCTTCCCCAATAAACCTTTAGCTATCTAGACAGATTCAAGCTTTCTTGATCTTTGTGGTCCCAGTAGCTAACAGCAGACAGCTATTTGGAATCAGTCCTTTAGCAAAAACTAGGCTAAGCAAAGAAGTGGAACAGTAATAGTTTCGGGAGGCCTCTGTTCCAGGAAAAAAATTTGGTTGGGAGGCCGGAGAGATAGTAGAGCAGGTCAAGTGCTTCCCTGACGTGCAGCCAAGCCAGCTTCAATCCCCAGCACCCGGTATAGTCCCCCAAGCGCACTAGGAATGATCCCTGACCACTGCTGGGTGTGGCCCAAAAACAAATGTTTTGGTTAGTATTTTCTTTTCGGGCTTCCACTCCCCACCCCCAACCTTTTATTCTGAAATATTTCAAACAGAGAAGCTAGAATAAGCACCTAAATTCATTAATTTTGTCACACCCCAAAATACCTTGACATGTATACCCTAAGAAAAACCATTCGATCTACCATTCTATAACCACAATATCATTACTATACCTAGTAAATTTACGTTGATATAGTAATTACAAGGGTGTTTTCTGTAGTAATAAAATTGATATTTTTCCCCAATGGTGCCCAAAATGTTCCTTACAATTATTTTTCAATTCCAGTTCCAGTTAAAGAAGATTGCATTTTTCATAACTCTCAAGCTACTTTTAATTTTTTTTTTATCTTAAACCACCTAGACTTTGTTTTTGTTTTGTGGGAACACTTGGCAATGTTCTGCGTTACTCCTAGCTCTGCACTCAGGAATTACTCCTGGCGGTGCTGAGGGCACCATGTAGGATAAAAGGTAAAAGGTAAAGGCCCTCCCGTTGATCGTCGATTTGCTCGAGCGGGCCCAGTAACATCTCCATTGGAGACTTTGTTGTTACTGTGTTTGGCATATCGAATACTCTCGGTAGCTTGCCGGGCTCTCCGAGAGGGGCAGAGGAATCGAACTCGGGTCGGCCATGTTGGCCGCTTGTAAGGCGAACACCCTACAGCTGTGCTATCGCTCCAGCCTATGGCCAGACCACCCTGTACTCGCCTGATTGCGGAAGCTAAGCAGGGTCAGGCCTGGTTACTACTTGGATGGGAGATCACCTGGGAATACCATGTAGGATATAAGAATTTAAACCTGTTTTCTATTATCCCATAAATGAAATTTGTCTTTTTCCTTATGATAAGAATGAAGTTAAATATTTTTGGATAAGAATACTACATAGACAGCACCATGTTCATCTCACTCTATCTGAGGAATATTATGCCAATATGTCACATTATTGATGAGATTAATGTAATTATTAACTGTAGGATAATAGTTTGTCCTTTCTCCCTGGCTGCAGGGAGCTTGGATTGGTTGGATTGCACCCATTCACAGTGTTCTTCTCTGTGCTCTGCTTCCCCAACCATTTAATCACCTATTTCTCCTAAGCAGTACCTGTGACTTGTAAAGTCAAATTCCTCAGAAATACCTGATTTTGTATTTGTAAGTGAAATACTGCTTTTCTCCTTCCCTTATGTCCTTTTGCATAGTTTACTTCAGAGCAGTGTCTTTTATGTATAGACCCAGGAAGACTGCTTTTGTAACTTGGGAGTTAATTGACTCTGAATAATATTCACTCCTGGGCATCTGTTTTCTCAAGTTAAGCTTCAGTTGCCTGTACTTCCTAGCACCCCAAAAGCAGGGTCCTAACGAGGGACTGGATGGACCCAGGGCAAGCTCTGCACTACCTTGGTATCAAAATGGACCAGGCCAAGTGCCATAATAATTAACTGTAAGTTAAAAGCACAGTCATTGACAAATTCTTCATGATCCACAGAATAACAACTGGATTAGGACCCTGCTAGGGTTAGAAAAGATTTATCTGGCCTAAGCACTGTATTTCTGGGATCTATAGCAGGATCCCAGGAGAGCCCTCTACAAGCTTAATGTATCTCTTACTGTGTCCATACAAAGTGACTAGAAAGATTATTTAGAAGTAAGTAAATCTAAGATGACTGTTGGAATAAGGAAAGGAGAAACACAACCTGTCAGTGGTATTTTGCCTTTGAGCCGATCTCCTGGCTGCAGGAGCTGTTCTTCTTCCCTCCAAAGGAAGGGCTTTCATTTGTTGATTGAACTACCTCACCTGGGTGTAGCTGCTACCTGGAATGCTTGGAGGCTGGGTGTGAGACCAAGACTGCAAGCCGAGAGACTAGCATGGGGGACAGGAGGAGACCAGAATGAGGGGCAGGGTGGGACTGGAATGGGGAGCTTAATGAGACAGGAACAGGCATGTGGGGAGAATGGAATAAACGGCAACTGATCACCAACCAGCCTGAAGACCCCGTTCCCTCCTTCATGGTCTGCTGGCGACAGCTGCAGGCCGAGGGAGGGAAGTGGCTCATGGCCACCGAACACATGTAGCAGACAAGAGAGACCACCACTGCTGCTGTGCTCACTTATTTTGTGATTACACACTTAGCAGTTTTCAATTATGAGCCACCAGTGGCAGGTACCAGCATCAGCATGTCAACTAGGTGATATCCATTGGACCCTTACGCTGTGAAGACACAGTTTCCCCTCTGTGGTTACTAAATAATTTGTGGGATGGTCTTCTGTGACTGTCAGTATCCTGTTCCCCTACAACCTCACATAACAGTGGTTTTAGAAGCCATTATTCTTCTTTCCTCAACCATTTTCCTCCTTGCCTATCTTTTCTAGAAGCTAATTCTTAGAAGGTTGCTGATAATCCTGCAAAAAGTTTCAGGGATGTTTAAAAGAGGGCACATCTTTTTGTTGTTTTTATTTGGAGGCCACAGCAGTGGTGTTAGAGCTTACTCCTGGCTCTGCACTCAGGGATGATCCCTGGCAGGGCTCGGGGGATCATATGGGATGCCAGGGATCAAACCTACATCTGCCACAAGCAAGGCAAGTGCCCTACCCACTTTTTTCTTTTTCCTTATTTTTTTTCCTCCAGGGGCTCTAAGCTGAGCCACATTTTGTGGTCTCAGAAAGCACGTTTATTCACCTGAAAAAAATTAAAAATTCGGGCTGGAGCGATAGCATAGCAGGTAGGGCATTTGCCTTGCACGCGGCCGACCCGGGTTCGATTCCCAGCATCCCATATGGTCCCCTGAGCACCGCCAGGAGTAATTCCTGAGTGCAGAGCCAGGAGTAACCCCTGTGCATCGCCAGGTGTGACCCAAAAAGAAAAAAAAAATTAAAAATTCAGCCTAAGTAAGCGTCTCCATTTTTTAGAATCCCTGGCAGTTTATAAACACTATGCCTATACTATAATTCTGTAGATTCACAAGGAAATGCATTATTTTATAGCTTGAATTAGCATGCCTGGGAAGTTATGGAATTTGCAATTCAAGTGACATCTTAAGGAACTGCTTGGGAAAATAGACTACAAAAAAAACTAGAATCCTTTATCATCCAGCCTAGCTATGGAAGAAACACAACTCTAAAGGCCAATTAAGTCCCTGAACCTTAAGTCCAAAAGGAAAGATATACTGTTATTATGGAGAACATCAAAGACATACCTTGAGTCCCAAGGATAAGGGGAGTGGTGTGGGAGGGAACAGCCTCCGCCCTCCAACACATATTTACTGAGCACCTACCATATGTCAGACATTCTTCCAGGCTCTGGTTTTCAGTGTCAGAATCAACAAAGTCCCACCCTCATGGACCTTACATTCTATTGGCTGGAGATAGGAAATAAACCAGGGCTAGATGGTAAAAAGTACTATACACTGGGGAGCTGGGAGGGGCGTGGGGCAAGTGGAGATAGAGTGGGAGTAGAAGCATTAAGATGAGTTTGCTGTTTCACAGAATGATTAGGAAAGACGTTGACGGAAAGAGATATCTGAGCAGAGGCTAGAAGAGAAAGCCATACAGGTATAGGAGATGAAGTGTCCCAGATCAAACTACAGCAAGGCCTAAGGTAGATTGGTGCCTGGCATGTTCAGAGAACTGCCATGAGGTCTGTAAATCAGACTTGGGGCAGGGAAGAGGAAGCCAATCAGAACTGGCATGGCCTTGGAGGCTGAGGAATTCTTCCAGGGTAATGGGAAGCCAGGGTGGATTGAAACCACATGTTTTAAAAGGATTAATGTATCCCTGAGGAAATGCAAAACCTTTTTTAATCCACTAACCAAACCAGGAAGGATTTAGAACAGATTAGGTTACCACTCATGAGGTCAGCACTGTTTTCCTCTGCAGCCAAGTTTTTAAGATGCACACAGGTATTTTCCATGCAAGTGTGGCTGGAGCCCACACAGGGGCTAACCACTCACGAATCGCACCTCATGGCTGCAATGGCCCCGGAACTGTGGCCTATGATGATGGTCTTTTCATCACAGTGAAGCTCTGTCTCCATGAAGGGCAGCCAGATGCTCTCTCGCGCTGTAACTGAGGTTCAAAGTCACGTGTCCATCATTTGGATAAAGATAGTTGTGTTTAAATCATGTCCCACTTTCTATCAGCCCACTACTGTAAGCAATTTACAGCTTCTAAAATTGCAGAATATGGATATGGGGCTGCTGGTTCAGTTTTGTTGGTTTGGAGGCCACATTTGGCAGTGCTCAGAGCATGCTCCATGCTCTGTGCTCAAGGATCACACCTGGTAATAAAATACTTGGGGACCCATAAGCAGTGCTGAGGATGGAAGTGGGGTCAGCTACATGGAAAACGAGAATCTTATCCATTACACTATTCTCTCCAGACCCTGGGGATTGCTTTGATAGAGCCAAACATTTTTGTTTGGTAGGCTCAAATCCAGAGTTTGGATAAGCAAGTATCCTTTTAAAAACAAAAAACAAACAAAAAAACCCCTATGATGTTGTAAGAAAATACTGAGGAAATAGTAGAACATAGCTCTGAAGCTTTCGTGTGGATACAAAGTGTAAACTTTGAAGTTTAAAACAACAACAGGCTGGAAAAACAATAGAGCAGGTAGGGCACTTGCCTTGCACATGGCCAACACAAGTCCGTTCCTAGGCAGCACATATGGTTCCCCAAACCCTGCCAGGAGTATTCCTGAGTGCAGAGCCGGTTTTAAGGCCTAAGTACCACCAGGAGTGTTTCCAAAATAACAAAACTTTTTTAAATCCTTGAGATTATTCTTCCCTAAATATATATAAATTTTTTTCTCAAAAATGGAATTCCTAAAAAGGTCACAGATAAACTCAGGACAAAAGTGGCAGTATAACATTTCTTAATATTAGGATTTCATATAGATACTATAAAGGTGTATTGTTGCCTCATAAAACACCCATAAATTTTGCATGAAGATACTTTCTGACTTTTGGAAAGGATAAATATGTTGGTTGCAAAATTGAAAATTTATCACTTTCAGGTGCTCTGCTTGATCCTTTCTAGAATGTTTGTTTTGTTTGAGGGTCACACCAGCAGTGCTGTGACCTGGCTCTATGCTCAGGAATCACTCCAGGTGGGGCTCAGGGGACCATAAGGGGTGTCGGGGAATCAAACCCAGGTTGGCGCGTGCAAGGCAAGCACCTTACCCAGTATACTATCTCTCCAGCACCATCCTTTCTAGAATTTTTTTAATGTTCCTTGGATTACACCCTCCTCCCCAAACTGTTCAAAAGTGTTTGCCACCATTCCATTCTTGGGTAGATGTTCCCTTTGGCTTTTGGCTTCTCTACTAGGATATTCCTTTCAATCAAGAATGAATTTATTAAAAAAAGAAAAGACAAGGATATTTTTAAACAGGCTGAAAACTACTTACTTGGGTCAGGCATGTTTTTAGCCAAACACTGGAAACCAGGTATCTATAACAGGGGGGGAAAACAGCTATAATAAAGAGCTTGTTTATAACTAATTAATATGAAATAAAGACACTGGATATAATCTTTATCAATTCATAAGCATTATGAAATTGAGTTGTGTGGTACAGCATCACCCATGAATAAGCACTCTCTCCTCACAAACTCCATGTGTCCTCTGACTAGCTGTGAAATTTCTAGACTGGCTTATATCTGTATCTATAACTGTCATAAAAATAAGCATCTAGCTCTATCTCTAGGTAGGCCATGAGTGAATGCATTATAGACTGATTGCGCAGAGTCAAACACTGCACCAGAGCATATGTGTGTGTGAGAGAAATGGGGGGTTGGGGTGGGGGGGTGCGGTATATGTGTGTATGTGTGAAACACTATGTATGTATGAGAGAGAAACAGGGGGTTGTGTGCCACTATACCAGGGTGTGAGGAAGATGTGTGTGTGTGTCAAACACTGCGTGTTTTGTGTGTGTCACACACTGTGCACAAGAGGACTTGTGTATAATATTATCCACCAGGGTATGTGTATGTCAAACTGTGCTGTGTATGTCAAATAATGCACCAGGGTGGGTGTGTGCTTCCAGTGGTTGGGACGGGATGACTGGAGGTCCCATATTCAGGGAGACAGTCTGGCTCCTTGCTCTGAGTTGATCACTGGCAGTGCTGGTGGACCAAACGCCAACCAAAAGCACCTTGAACACTATTACCAAACACTATACCAATGAGTAATTAAGGGTGGCGAGAAAGTTGGAGTCTCCTCCTCCTCCTCCTCCTCCTGTCCAGCGCCAGCCCTGACCGTTCCATTTGCAATTCTGACCATGATTTTCAGTCACAATCCAGCAATTTTATGCTAAGAGGGCTGCAACCAGGAAGAAATTCTTCCTGCCTCGATATGGAAACCGAGATGCATCAGACAACCTACACCAGACAGCATTTTTATAAAGTTCATTACAAAGTCATGTACTGCACAATGATTGTTTTAAAAATCACACAGGCTGCAAAACTAATTTTTGAAGGTGGAGAAAATGAAAATCATTTCAGCACGGCAGGGAAACGGGCTGGAGAGCATACCGGAGGGTTTGACAGTACTAGTGAAAATGTTTCTAGGTTTTAGTTCAGTATTTATTACATTACATTACATTTCATAATGATATACACGTTACATCCTTTTGCATATTAATACCACACGGTGAGGTTTTCACAAGGCTGCTGCTGGGCGCAGAGAAGACAGATGTAAACTTCCCTGGGAAGTCCCAACAGGCACCAGGGAGCGAGAGGAGCTCGGCGTCTGTAGTTCTAAAAGTTGGTGTCTCACAATGCTAACAACTGAGTCCAAAACACCTTTCGATGTTATCAAACAAAATTTCAACCCCACGAAGACGAGAATCTATGTCGGAGCAGCAAGGTATACGAAAGAAAACACATGGGGTTCCCGATGGGCCCAGCTGCGCGGAAGAGCACACATGCTCAGAGCCAACCCGAAAACCAGCCCACACTGATTTCCCCAGAGCGGCAAAGTGCATCTCACTTACCTGCTCCAGCCCCCTTTTCACCCACCCGTACCAGCCGTGGGTGGCGACATCGCCGCCTCCGTTCCCGGGAACAATAACGGCCTTGCTGGGAGTAGCCATGGTGCAGAGACGCTGGGGTCCTCCTGCAGCCAGTCCAGCGCAGCTCCAGCGCCCGGGGCTGCATCCGGGAGCTGCACCGCGGCATTCTGGGAATTGTAGTTGCAAGGCGCCCCAGGGCTGTTCTTGAACTGACTTTTTTTTTTTTTTAAATCACTATGAATTATAAAGTTGTTCATGACGGAGTTTCAGGCATACAGTAGTACAACAACAGTTTCCCCCTCCAGCCACCTAAGTCCCCACTTTCCCTCCAGCATTCCCAGCCTGCCTCTATGGCAGGCACGTTTTCCTTTTCCTTTTTTCCTTTTAGGCCCTGTTGTGTGCAATACTGTTATTAAAAGGACATAATGCATATATGTCCTTTTAGAGTTCGATTTCTCTGCCCCTCTCAGAGAGCCCGGCAAGCTACAGAGAGTATCTTGCCCGCACGGCAGAGCCTGGTAAGCTCCCCATGGTGTATTCGATATGCCAAACACAGTAACAAGTCTCACGATGGAGACATTACTGGGCCCGCTTGAGCAAATCAATGAACAACGGGAGGACAGTGACCAGTGACCAATGCATATATCACTTTATCTCCCTTGAGCACCCAGTTCTAGTACAGAGTAGTCACTTCCCCGTTATCATTGTCATAGTGGTCCCTTACTGCATTTGCCAAAAGCCAAGAATCAGCTATTCTTGCTTCTCACTTGTTCTCATTTCCTCTCCTTATTATTTATTAATTATTAATTCCTTATTGTAATTTCTGATATTTCTATAGAACAGTGACTTTTGTTCCAAACAGGCAGAACCAACATATTTTTTGCAGAGTCCTGGAATCCATATTACTTTTCATCTGACTTCAAAAATAGTTCTTGGGGCTGGAACGATAACACAGCAGTTAAGGCGTTTGCCTTGCATGTGGCCGACCCGGGTTCAATTCCCAGCATCCCATATGGTCCCCGAGCACTGCCAGGACTAATTCCTGAGTGAAGAGCCAGAAGTAACCCTGTGCATCGCTGGGTGTGGCCCAAAACAAAAAAAGAAGAAAAAAGTTCTTAACAGTATAGCCAATATCAGCCCTAGTTGTTATTTTTTTTAAAATAGCTTCAGATGACGTCCTTTTAAAAGATGTCATTATTGGGTGAAAAAGAAGGAAAATGTTCACATGTAGAGCAATTTGGGCACTGTGGAACCTAAGATATCAGTGACACTATTTATTAATTGTAATATGGCAGTCCTGAAGTTTTAAGAACTAGTAAGACCTTACAAATATACCTAAACCTGATTGAATGGAGTAGGGAAGGCATGTATTTGCATGGTTGTAAATGGAAATTAACAAGTGCTTTTTTCTTGCCCCTCCCTTGGACTGACCCACACTGTACATCAGAATGTATTTTAGCACCTGAAAAACTTCTTTAGCACCTAAGTTTTTTTAATGATATGCTGCCTTACCATCACATTCTTTTTCTGTTTGGTTTTGGTTTTGGATCACAGCCAGAAGGCTTGAAGGTCGCTCAGAGATCAAAATGCAGGATACTCCTTGCTCTTGAACATTAGGATAGACTTTCTTTCTTGTTTTTGTTCTTTCATTTTCAATTTTTTTCTTTTCCCTCTTCTTTTCTCTTTTTCTATTCTTATGTATTTATTTTGGGATTTGGACAATACCTAGTGGTATTATGAATCTACTCTTAGCCTCCAAACAATGACCTTTTGAAGAAAATTAAGTCTGGGCTAGAGACATAGTTTAAAGAACTGAAAGGATACTTTGCATGCTACAGGTCTTGGTTTGATCCCTAGAACCTCATGATTGCTTAGGCATTTCCAGGAACAATCCTAAACACAGGGATAGGAGTACTAGACTTACTTCTAGCCCTGTGCTCAGGGGTCACTTCTTGTGGTTCTCAAGGGATCATATTCAGTGTGGGGATGGAAACAGGGTCAGCTGTCTGTAAGACGTGTGTCCCAGATTGAATCCCCAGGGCTGTGTGTTTCCTAGACACCACAGGAAGCCCTGCTCACCCACATAGCCTAGGAGCACTGCTTGGTGTGGCCCTCACCCCAAACAAAAGTCAATGTTATTTAAGTTTTATATATAAACTTACTCACTTCATAAGGAATGAATGCTGATAGAAAACTCCATAGATGAATCTTGAAATAATTCTGCTGAATAAACTATGCTAGGTTAAAAAAAAAAGAGTGCATAGGATTTTATTGATTTCCAATGGGAAAATTGCTGAGACACAAACAGTGTGGGGTGGCATATATGCTCATTATCATGATTGCGACAACAAAACTCTTGCACACATTAAGTATATGCAGTCTTGCATATCAATTTTACTTCACAAAGTCATTATAAAAAATAGGGGCCTGGAGGATGGCTTAGAAGGGGAAAATAGAGTCTTGCATGTGACAGGCTGTGAGTTTGATCCCTGCTATCACCTATTTGAGCCACATATGACCCAATGGCAGTTCTACTATCTGGGACCCTAGAAGCTGCAAAAGTGTGTGCCATCTTTATCTGCCCTCAGAATACAAAAGCATTCATTTATCCAAAAGGATGGATGCACCTCTATGTTCACTGCTGCACTCAGAAAAATAAGCAAAGATATGGAAATAACCCAAGTGCCCAAGTAGAGGAGGAATGGATGGAGAAGTTGTGATATATGCACAATGGAATACTATGCAGCTCTAAGAAAGGACAAAATCGTGCAATTTGCCAAAAAATGAATGATATCATTCAAATTTTTTGGCTAAAAGATATCAAGCTAGTGAATTCAGTTAGAAACAGAGGGTGAGATACATAACATTCTCATCTGTAGCCAGGTAGCAACAAAAGATCAAAGGCAACAGAACAGAAGCACTGAACCACAGTACTGAGTTTGGGGGTGGTGGGTTTGAAAAGAAGAGGCACTGGGAACCTTGGGGGAGAGAGGTAGGTACACTGGAGATGGATGTGGTGTTGGAATTTGTTTTACAAATATTCGTTCAGTTGGAGGCGTTGAGACAAGGAATGGGAGAGAATTTATTTTTTTACAGAGGATCATGGGACTCACTCAGATCCTGTGACAAAGGTAGAGTGTTCTGAGATCTCCTTCTATTATCACCCTACCACACACAGCTCTAAAGAAAAAAAAATACAGGAAGAACTTTGAGGCATTGAGGCATGCATTGTTTCCTTAAGTCTGCAAGCCAGTTAGATTCAACCGCCAGAAAGAAATGCTTTTTTATTTTTTATTTTTTATTTTTTTCTGGGAGGGCACAAGTACCTGGGGTTTACACATCAAAGACAAGCTGGGAAGCTGGGCTTGGATTTTTTGAGAAGAGGAAGAATGACTGTTTTGGTATACTGGAATTTAGGTTATTTACTGAAGGCAGCATAAAGAAAGAGATGTTCAGCTTCATCCAAACCAGTCTGGACACATGAGTCATTGCTTGCCCATTTTTATGGGTCCCTGTGTTCCTGCCCGTTTGTGGGTCAGTCTCCACAGGCTCATTCTGATGGCCCCAACAGGAATTAAACCACCATTAACAGTACTGTAAATCAGTACCTCAATTCATTAAAACATTTAATAAAATGAAATAAAAGTCCACAGATTATAAATGCACACACACACAATGCTCCATCTCCGGGGCTCTTCCAAATGTATGCAAGCATGACAACTACAGACATGCGGGCACCTTGGCCAGGAGTGAAGCCACCAGCTAGCACATGTGTGTGAGCACCACAATGCTCTGGGCTGAGCACTAAAGCCAGAATGTGCACAAGCACCACAGTTCCATGAATGTGACCACTCCTGCAAGCACTGCCACTAAGATGTGCAATCCCCAGTTATCACCACAACAGTGCAAAAAGAGGATTGAAGGAGAAATAACAATAGTTATGATAGCAACAATAACATTTAAAATAAGGAACCCTGCTTGAGGTCCCCTCCCATTAGAGGAGGCTTCCTGGACTTTGCTCTTTCTTCTCCCTTCTCTTAAAATCTTCATCTGAATTGAGAAAAAAATAATTAGTTTGATTAAAAGCAAAAACAAGTAGAGCCAAAGAGACAGTAGAGCAATTAAAGCACTTGCTTTGCATGTGACCAACACAGGTTTGGCCCCAAAACCCCATATGATTCCCCTGAGCACTGCTAGGGGTCACTCCTGAGCAGAGTCAGAAATAGCCTCTGAGCATCACCAGATGTGATCCAAAAACCAAAGATCAAATCAAATTAAAACCATATGTGGCTGGAGCCATAGTACAGCTGGTAGGGCACTTGGCTTACACACAAGCCAACCTGGATTCAATCCCCAGCATCCCACATGATCCCTAAATGTAGAGTCAGGAATAAACTGCGAGCAACACCAGGTGTGCCCCCAACCCCCCCCCAAAAAAACTCACAAGCATTAACAGTATGGTAAACATATGACTAAAACTATCATTAAATTAAAATTTATAAAACAAAATGAGTTTTTCAAGGGCATTGAGGTAAGAGAGAACCTGGGGTTATTGGTGGAGGGATGTGAACACTAGTAGTCTGGAATTGAAATATTGTATGCCTGAAACTGTTATTCACAGTACTGTAGATAACTAAACGAAAATTGGTAGGGGAAGCAGTTTACTTCTTCAGGTTTGTATTTCCTTATGATGATTCCAGTTGCATGTAAAACATCTATCAACTAAATGTATATGCTTTTCTTCTTTTGTCTTTTCATTAGAGAGCCCCAGTCAATAATCTAGACGGATAAAAATATTTTCTTTCCCTTTATCTATACCTCCAGAACTCTGAAACTAATAATAAATTATCACCCTTGTTGATTTACTTTTCTAAGCATCCCTCAATTTCATTTAACTGCTTAGTTCAGGTCCTCACTCTTCTCTCCACAATCTTTGCCAAAATTCAACAACCTCCCACATAATCTTTGCCCGAATTTTCCAAACCAAAATCTCACATTGGATGCCAGATAGATCTTTTTAAAATCTCACATATGACCCTGATGTTATTTTACTTATACATAATCCTAAGGTCAGAGAGACAGTACAGAGGGTAAGGCCCTTGTCTCGCCTGTGGCTCTGGTTTCATCC